TCTTCAGTGGCACTTATTTTTCTTCTTAAGTTTAGCTCTACTTTGACTCTTCTGCATCCAACTCGGCAATGTAGCTGTTATTCAACATTAGTGCCCAGGTGGGTTAATAAACTCCATAGGAGTAAGTATCAATATTTATGCCTGCCACCTACATAAAGCGGCAATTCTCTCTTGATTAAAGCTGTGGTATGTGCAAAGGGCATGGGATTGTTCTGTTCATCCCTTGTGCAAGGAATGCTCAAAGACAGCAAGAGCATCTTGTGCTCCTGTTTAACACCCAGTGCAAAAGTGAGTAAGAGGCTTTTCACCTCCATACTGTGCTTTCAGCTGAGGGGGATTCCGTGGTTATTTCCTTGCTGGCACTTCGTTTTGGTGCTACCCATAAACAGCAGGTATCTCTTGAGTGGTTTCCAGTAAAGCAAGAGAGAGAATGTTTTCCTGAACCTAACCCACATAAAACATTATTTGAGGGAGATACTTTTATTCCTTTTACGTTGCATCTTTCCTCCAAGGAGGTCGGGGTTGTGGACAGTATTCTTTTCCCACTAGTATTTTATTTTCTCAAAAGCACTTTGATGTAGATTAGCTGAGGACATAGTGGCTGCATGGTTTGAACTTGGGTCTTCCAAGCCCTAGTCCAACATTCTTCACTGTAAATGCTATTGAGAACAGTCTTTCTCTCCCCTATAGCATTCTCTGGCAAATGAGAGCTTTCTCTTGTTTCATGTTCATGTGCAAATACAGTCACTAAGAGTTCAAATTATCATGTATATCTTGAAAGCTTTTCTTTCTGGGGTAATCTAGAGGGGGGCATGATTCTAAGGGTAATGCTTTTTAAACATGGTTTGATGGGCTTCATAAAACATGCGAAGTGTGATTTGGAATCTGATGGTTGAAACTCTTGTGCTGTCCAGGATTTGTGAACAGTTTTCTATCTTGATCACTGCTCTGATTTAATCCAGCACTGGGAAGCAGAAAATGACACTTTTGATTCTTTGTTGGTTTCTCCAACAGACTGGCATGCTTTCCTAGGCCCTTCTTTTCTTTCAGTCCCTCCATACTGTTCTTCCGAAGTTGCAGTTTGAATTCTGCTTGAGTATTTCTGCCTGTTTGCCTCCCCCTTGCCTCAAGCAGGTAAATAAGCTGTTGTGGGGGAATGAAAAGGTTTGCTTTTGCACGATGCAGAGATTTGATTTGTGTTACCATGTGACACAGCATTGCTGAATGCTAATTACAGATTCTGGCTATTGATACCTCTTTTCCATACAAAGGTTGATCTAGGTTGTACTGCAGGCAAAGTTGGCTCTACCTTATTTTATTTTGTATTTTTGTGTCTTGTTTCAGTATTTAGATCAACAAGTGGTAAAACTTCATGTCCCGTCTCCCCGCAAATACAGTTCTGTTTTTTAAACTTAACTTTGCTTTTACTGTTCCAGTAATGCTTTAAAACTGTGTTCCGTGTTTGGAATGCACTATTTTTGCAGTGCGTTTGGGTGGGAACAGGAGAGATTTTTAGATCCAGGGTACTGTTTATGTACCCTCAGTGATGAATCTCCCCGGGACGTTTTTTGATAGGGAAAACCTTGCACGTATGAATTTTCAGAAAGCAGATTCCTGCACTTGCTTAGCATGGTGGAAACTGTTTGACATGGGTAAGCTAAAGTATCTTTTCTAGTCCAAAAAGAGAGGATAGAGGTTAACAATGAAATGCAGTTTGTGAAAGTATAGCTTGGATTTGAGAGCCTGATAGATGTAGGGAAAATACGTTACAAGAGCATTCTGAAGCATCCTAGCACAGGATAATCCGGTCCTCACAAACAGGGACCTTGCAGTAAGATTACATTTCGTCTAACCCCAAGGATTCTTTGTAAAGTCCCTACCTTTCTTCCTTGCACACACACTGAACATCACAATGCAAGTATTTGGCTACTCTATTTTATATACAAAAGCGAATGTTCTAAAACCTTTCTGAAGCTTTTAGAGCTTTGGTTACCTCTTGTCTTAGCAACACCGATGCAAGTTCTAGTCTGTGTTTAGGGACTCATCTTCATCTGCTTATTTGTGCACCTTCCTGTCAAACAAATGACACAGAGGAGGCTTAAAATACGCTAGATGGTTTAGCAGAGACTTGAAATAGTTGTCAGAGCTCTACATGGAGGAGAAGTGCAGATTCTTAAAGAAACCTTCTGTGATACAGTGAGGTTGTGGTGGTTTTTCCTTTTTTAAGAAAGCCTTTCATATGCTCTCGCTGTATAATATATGCTTTTCACAGGGATGTGTGTTAAATCAATAAAGAACAGCTTCTCAGGGCTGTCTGTCAAATTTTCTCCCAGAAATGTTTCATCCTGTGTGGAGCTTGCTGTTCTGGAGGGCCATAAAATTGGAAGGTGATCCCTGTACAAGCTGGCTCTTCTTAACCAGTTAGTTGCTTTCTGCAGACTTTTGATTATTCCACATAATTCAATGTACAGAAGCTGAAACTCTTAGAATCCTGAGTTTTCACTGAAACTTACTGGCCAGGAGAAATCCAGGTCTCAAGACATCTTACATATTCATATCTACACACATCTGGGGAAAACGTATTTACCTAGATACAGATATATAATGAAGACAAATAGTTAACTATGGAAGAAAGCTCAACTAAATGCTCTGGGATGTTAACTGATTTGTCACAGGAATAGAGTCTAGTCACAGAGTGTGTGGCTGTGTAATTTTATTGGCCACATACTGTGTTTTACCAGTTAGTATCTATATTCCATTGAGCTGGACCTTGTTCTGAATAAAGATTATCGTATGTTTAATCATATGCTGCTTTTCAATGGTAAACCCCTACTCAAGATGGCTTACAGTAACATCCAAAAAAATTACACTAAATGTAGCAACATTTTCAAATAAATATTTAAGCTATGAATCATAAGGACATTTCAGTAGTCATACACAGAAATTACACATTGATAATTATGCAGTGGGATTAAACAAACAATAGAAGTGAGTGGGAAAAGGAAAGGAACTTGCTTTTTCCATCATTTCAGACTTTTAGAAATGTAAAATCCTAGTTCTGCACTGGATCACTCCAAGAGGTGGGTTGGGGAGACAGGAAATACCGATGCTTTGCTTGGACTGCTAGAAAGAAGCAAAGCTGCGCAGTTCCTTTTGGTCTTCGGGTTGACTCCGAGAAAGAGTGATTCTGAGCATTTTTTTCAGGACCTCTGCTGAAGGATCAAGCCAACTGACAGTAGGACTGATCGTCCAAGAAAGCCAGAGGAAACATGAGAAAATTACGGCCTTGCTCATCCCAACCCATTTCTGAGGCAGTTTTCCATATTTGCTTCATTGGATTCCCCCCCCCCCACCCCGCCCCAAGCCCACATCCCCTCTTATCAACGGCACAGCAGGGTTTGGTTATTTTTCATTGTCTGGGCCATCCCGTCTTTGCAGCTGATATTTTATTAGCGTTGGGGATTGTGCTCCCATCAAAGAGAATGATGGCTGGACAAGTGACGGCACTTGGAATGTGCTTCTGTGTTACACACACCTGCCATGCCAAAGTTGCCAAGGTGTGTCATATTTCAGTATCTTGGAGGGGCAGAGACTTGCACGTGAGCCTCAAGGATCCCCATGTAGTGCTGGTGGATGCTTTTTCAGTGTCTGTTAGATTTAGCAATCACAGCTCTCAAGGTGCTTCTGCTGCAAGTTTTGGCTTTTAAGAATAATTGTCAACAGTACAGATTGTTTTAATGATGATTGTCAGAAAAGTCAGGCAGTATTTAGAAAATGAAAGCCACTAGATTGCTGATAAGTTAAAACAGCATTCTTCTTTGTGTTCTTGAAAATCAACAAAACCTTAGGCTTTTGTTGACTGAGGCTGCTGGGAGTTTACTTTGAAACAGGTTGAAATCAGGTTGCCTTTGCCCGTCTGAAATGAATGGTGTTTACATGTCTGTGGCTGCTGCAGAACTGAGGAGCAAGAGGGCTTCACTCCTGCCATTGTGATACTATTAAAAAGAGAAAACGGGTCACCCAAAGGTATTCTTGACTTACTGGAGTGTTTTGACTCCAGGGAAATATCACAGGTAGTTAACTGACTGGCATCCCATTTTTGGAAGAATTGATGCCATTCGAAGTGGGAAAAGTCACGTGCTACCAGATTTCTGGTTTTGTTGAACAATAATGGAGATACAGTGAGGCCTAAAATGTCTGGCTTGAGGGGGCCTTAGAGCCAAGCATTATGGAAGGCGTTTCTAAGCAAGCCGGTCAAGTAGGCATCAAGTGTAGTGATGCTTTTATCTACAAGTAGCTACCATAACTCCGTCCCTTTTTTGCCCCATCCCTATAAATGAGATATTCTTGAACATGCTATTATAAGAAGTTTCTGATCGGGATCGGTTGCTGAAATGTGCTATTACATCATAATGCTATTCTGCTAATATGACTAATTTTGTGTCTTGAGATATTTGCAGTGGTGTAAAAATGGTTGGGTTATACAGATTTGGATCCGGCCGAGCATTCAGTCTTTTCCAGTACTGGTCAGTAACCGTCCTTCTCCCTTCCTTCCCAAGTCTTCTGTGCGTGCTGAGGGAAGGAAGGATGGGTGGTCCTGGGCAATGGAGCCGACAGGCACCATGTAAATCTCTCATGCTGCTTCTCTTAGTGCCAAAGCTCACTAAGTCAAAGCAACGTAGGTCCATTTCATGACAGAAAACTGGAGATGTTACTGTGCTTTAACATGCAGAACCTTCTGCCCACCTTAAAGCCCAGAACAAAATAAAACAGCTCTCAAGAGTTAGCTACATTTCATTGAAAACTGTGGTGGAGGGCGGGGGCTGTCTGTGCTGGCTTGGGTATCCTGCCTTGCCCAAGGGCCAGGCTGTGTTCCCCAGAAAACACACAGAAGTCTGTTATATTAGCTGTAAGAACTATTTTAAATGCTGATTTGAAAAGTCTTTTGCTCATCATTCTGAAAGAGAGGAGAAATGACTTTGTAATCCTTTTCAGTGGTATCTCTTACACCAGCTGTCCAACCTTGCCTAACCTTTGGGTAACGCAGCAGAATGTATTCTAAAAGATGTGGAAGGAGGGGTGTGTGTCTGTAACTTGAAAAACAAAACATAGGAGTGTTATTTAGAAGTCATGCCAGTACTTTTGTGCTACTGTAAACAAATCAAATTAGCAGTGTTCTCTGGCATGTATGTCTTTTCAGAGTTAATGTGCCAGATGGTGGATATACCTTAGTCTTTAGTTTTTTAAAACTATGAGTTTAGATCATGAAGCTTAGGCCGGAGTTGTTTCAACTTGTTGTAGGAAGCTAAAGTGAGAGAGGACTATGTAGAATATGCAAAACTTTGCTGTGTAGTTGTTGAGATTTTAGGTTAGACGCATTGCCTAGTGCTGGTATAGAGTCACTGACCTACTTGAGAAACTCTGTTTAAAGACCTTTAATAAGTGTGAGACCCTTGAGATGTTTTGGACTATGATTCTTAGGATTCCTGAGTATTGTCCATGCTGGCTGGGGCAGGTGAGAATTTGTTTATTTATTTATTACATTTATATCCTGCCTCTTTTCCTTTCAAGAAACTCAAGGTGACTTGCATAATGCTCCTTCTCTCAAGTTTATCCTCGTAAGTACAGCCCTGTGAGGTAGGTTAGGCTGAGAGTCTGTGACTGGCCCAGAGTCACCCATGGCAGAGCAGGATTAGAACCAGATCCCCAGTCCAACACAAATCACTATGCCACTGTGGCTAGCAGGCTGAAGTGCGCTACATCTGTGGGGAGCAGGTTGGAAAATCTGGATCAGTACAAAACACCTGGTTTTGTCAGAATTCAGTATTTGTTCTTTCTTAATCAACCTAAGTTGAGCTGAGATGGTAGCATTTTTTCAACCTTAACAGTGATGGTCAGCACAGAAAGTAATGAAAACATGTAAAGAGTTTCTGGAAAGGCCCACCTGTTCATCAGTCAGAAGCTGTGCAAACTTCATAGTCTGATCAAAGTAAGTAGAAAGACATTCTAGTGGAATAGATATCTGTACAGAATCGCAGTGAAGTCATGTTCTATAACAAGGTGCATAGTATCTCTAGATATGTTGATGTATCTCACCATTGTTAGATAATGGGTTTAAATAGGTGGAAAATGAAGGACACATCATTACTATGGAGAATAGAGTAGTTCTGGAAATACAACTAGTTGGAGGCATTTATGAGATTTCTTTTTTTAAAAAGAAGAGTATTTCATTTAATAAAGCTTAATCAATGATTAATGACTTCCAGTGAGAAAGAAACTGGAGGACTGCTCTGTCTTTAGCTTTGCCTAACTAAATTAAAAATGTGTATGAGCAAACGCAGTACACACGAAGCTTGGCATGAAGAGATGGTGTGTGCTTGCCACATTATCCTCAAGTATTATAAATGGTATTGATATTTATTTATTGATTGATTGATTGATTGATTTATATCCTCCCTTTTTTCCTACAAAGGGCTCAAGGCAGTTTATATCATTCTCCTCCATCTTCTCCCCACAACAACAACCCTGTGAGGTAGGTTGGGCTGAGAGTCTGTGACTGGCCCAAAGTAACCCAGTTGGCTCTGTGGCTGAGCGGGGACTAGAACCCAGGTCCTCTGAGTCCCAGTCCCATGCTCTTAACCACTACACCACCCTGGCTCTCTACACCACTTGATATGGTTGTAAGGACCCTGAGAACATGACTCAGTCTCTTTGTTAACTTTCTGAAATGCCATGAAAGTGCCAGGTATGTCAAATACAAAAATTATAGCCCACTGTGTTTTACTTATTTGTCATAAGTGGCTTTAAAGACAAAGAAACATCCTTCAGCATTCATAAAATTGTGTTTGTCTAGTCACCTGCAGCCAGTTCTTATCACAGGTGACCAGTTTGAGTAGCCCAGTTGTTAAAATTCCTAGCTGAAATATTCCCAGTTCAAATCAGTCAAGAATACAGGCAAACAACAACTCTCTTTTTCTGATCTCCACAAATTCAGCATGTGATGGTAACAGTGGTCTACTTTACTGTTGTAAGGATAAGCATAGTTCCATGCATTTAGTGCTTTGAAACTGTGTATATGAATGCTTATTCTTTACCAACCTAGCTTAAACTGCTTAATTTCTCCATCAGTGCTAGAGAGTATTTCAAGGAATAGATTTCTACACTCTGAAACTAAGTGTTGTTTAATAGTACTATGAAATTCAAAGCTCACATTTTAGAAAATTTCCTTTGCATAGCTGTGTTAACTTGAGGCTGTGAATTGCCACTTTTCAGGTAGCCTTTGGTAAGTGGGAGTCTTTTTTTAAAGCTTTCAGCTAGGGAAGCTTGGCAAAGGCTTCAATTTTTTTTAGTCCATTCATGACTCACATGGACGGGCAAGTTAGGGTATAGTTCCGTAAGCCAGCTTATGCTGGGGTGCACTTGCTTTAGCTTGTTTTTACATCAGGTACATGAATTAGATTAATGTTGCACGTACAAATACTGAAGGATGATGCAGATTCTGCCTTGTAGGACACCGCTATAAAAGGTTAAAATGAGAACTAGATTAAGTTGAAATAGAGAAGGCTAAAAAAGAGTGATTGATCAAAGGCCACACAAATGAACTTCATTAACTGAACAGCGAAGATTTGAACTGGTCATTCCGTTGTGGGGCTTTAGGGTTTACACAAGCAAAAATGATATGTACATTTCACGTGCTGTGATATTTTGATACAGCTTTTTTCTAAAATAATCGCTTTTTGTTAAGCTTGTCTTAGTACAGTTAAGGTAGAGCCAAGACCTGTAAATCTTCATTCTGGCCATATTTTACCCTCTAAACTGTTTCTTAACATAGATAACCAGAACCTTTAGCCCTTGCTTCATCCCCTTGACCTCAGGTGATAACTCTGATTACAAAGATAGAAGGGTAGTGATTGATTGCCTCTGTTTGTGTGTTCTTCATAACAGATTTTGTAGTGCTTTCCTGAGCATGAATTCAGAATGAAGCGGCGATTGGAGGAACAGGAGTCACCTGTCTATGCGTCACAGCAGAGACGTATTGCTAGCAACACAGAACCTTTTCAACACCAGCATCGTGTGCTTGCTCCAGCACCTCCCGTATATGAGTCTGTTTCAGAGACCATGCAATCTGCTACTGGAATCCAGTACTCTGTAACTCCTAGCTACCAGGTAGAATCACTCAGTTGTTTGAATTGCAGTCTCCAAGGAATTTAATGACCCACTTTCTCTGTGAACATTCAGCAGCATCTCAGTATGAGGCATGCTCAAATTTTTCTGTATGTGGGAATAAGCATCTTTGCACTCAAAAATACATGAAGCACATGTATTTACTTATTTAAAGTATTTCTGGGCCATCTTTCAATGCAAAAGCTCTCTTTCTGCAGCTTACATCATAAAATCCCATCCCACGATAAAATCAGCATAAATTAATTAAATCAACAAACCCCAAGAATAAAACATCCAGCCCAGACTGCACTAAAATCCATAACAGATTTGCAGATAATGCTGAAGAATGGTCAAATAAAATATGCCCAGGGAAAAATCCAGAGAAGATAGGGAAATCATCAGGCCTTCTTAAAACTTTGCAATGATTGTTTTTATTTTATTTATTACATTGTATTCCACCCAGTACCTAAGCTTTTAGGTGGTTGCAAAGAATCAAAACTAGGAATGCAACAAAAAAGATAATGTAAAAACATTTACATTCAGAAACAGTTGAAATCAATCAGCAGTAAAAAGACTTGGACTGGTTAAAACTACATGAATAAAAGCCATTGCGGACACTGTCAAATGCACTTGAATGGAAGAAATTTTGCTGCTAGGCAGACGTCACTGGAGTGAGTATTCCATATTCAGAGAGCCACCATGAAAAGGGGAGGCCTCAGGAGACAGGTACAGTCCAGGTAGAGTCATACCAGGAGACGCACTCCATCAGGTCTTTTGGTTCCAACCTTATAAAAGGTTTCATAGGTCAAAACCAGTACTTTGAAAATGCAGGCAGTGTAAATTAGTCGCCATTGGTGCTATATATTCAGACCCGCTAGTCCCTATTGCTTTATTTTGCATGTGCTGCAACTTCCAAACCATCTTCACAGAGAAACCTTAGTAGAGTGCAATTTGAGGATTACCAGAGTATAAACTATGGAGACCACATTGCCACAGATGCTGCTGTCCTAGAGACAATTTTGAATCATAATTCCCAAGTGACTCACCTGTTTGGAAAGTCCCATGGTCCCCTAAAGATTCACCCTGTGCATATCTCTGCCCTCCTTCCCAGGTGTCAACTGTACCACAGAGCTCCAGCAGTCATGGGCCTACTCTGGCCACTGTCCACAGTGGGCATCACCACCCCACTCCAGTCCAGCCTCATGGAAGCCAGGTGGTGCAGAGCCATGCTCACCCAACACCCCCAGCAGCACCAGTGCAGGGCGGGCAGCAGTTCCAGAGACTTAAGGTAAGGTACCCAAGAGATTGGTTTGGTTACTTCTAAATTTCCTGACCTGCACTTCAGCATAGTGCAGACTCCCTTAGGGTAGTGGGAAACTCTGCTGTTGGCGCAGGTAAACACGTCTCCTTTCTCCCCTTGCACAATTTGATGCAGATTATTTTGTCATGTTCTGCAACATTAATTACAATAATATTGCTGGAACTCGGCAGCGATACCTTAGCATTGTTTAATATGAACCTATTTGTGAGAAGATTTTGAAGTAACTTCTGAAGGTTTATTTTATATCACCCTGTAAGACTGTTCTGGAGCATGGGCTATGGTGACTAGATAAGCTGGAGCACTCTGTGGGGAGTAACAGAAGCGAGTTGAGCACTGTTTTATTCCTTCTTTGTCGGAGCAAAAGAGTTTGAGTCATGTTAGGGTTTTCCTCCTTGTTGTTTCAGGGTGCTGTTTGTCAGCACCGCCTGCCTTGGCCATCTCAGCTTTGGCTTTGGTAATGTAGGAATCTCATTGTTTGGCTGATCAAAGGTTCTCTGTCCTTCAGTATACACATAGATACATAAATGCACACATAAAGTAGGTCTAGAGATGTAGGTATGTATCAGTCACAGTGAAGGTCGTCCACAACCCAGCAGCACTTAGCTCATTTCCAGCCCTGCTAATTTTCTGTGTTCAGCCAAGAAGCTTTTCCTGAGTTTGTGTATGACGGAGTTACTGAGCACTCATTGAGCGCATATCACAATCATATGTGCATTGTTCAGAAAACCGTATCTTCAATACAGGTACAGGGCACATTAGCTCGTTTTCCTTAGCAGGATATACTTGTCCTCACCAGCAGTAGCTCTTCATCATTTTGCTCTGACCTGTTCAGGAAGTCAGTGCAAATGAGAGAACTCAGTCTCATCCTTGTTCCTTCTGGGACGCATCCAGGAGAGAAGTAGACATTTTTTCTTATTTATGTTGCACCTCATAGAACGCTAGGAACAGGTTAGCTGCTCCAGACAGTAGCGGAAAGAAAAGTTGTGGGTGGCTGCCGGGTGTGTTCCTTGCCAGAATCTCTAATCCCTGGTGAGTGGATTTGTGAACACCTGCGTGTGTGAATTTTGATGTCCTATGGTCATAAAAACATGGAATATATGTGTGTGTTGGGATAGTTCTCCATTGACTATTAGGCCTGTACACACTTTCTGCTGCAAGGTGTGTGGTTTTAAGAGTCAGGCACTGCAAGCATGATTTTTTGAAGGTGTCTTGACCTTTCAAATTTTTTTTGACCCCCTCTTAATACTTCCATTTAGGAAAACAGAATGAAAAATTCCAGATAGTATTTTCTTCCCATAGTGCAACAAAGTGAATTGCTACATGCTTGCTGTTAGCAACTTTGGAAGAGATGGATTACTTATGCAGCACTATATCACTATATTTAAGACATCCAAACGTCTAATAATTTTTATAAATTCTTTGTCCAACTGCAAAAGCAGGAAGGTGTTGAAAATGAGGTCAGCTCTGTTACAAAATAACAGAATGCACCCTGTTACTGGAGCATTCTTCACTTGTGGAAAGTATGTTGGAAGTGTAGTGTACAGATGTAGGCCTGTTCTTGGAAAGCTGCTTTAAATGGTGTGAAATGGGAGGCTGCATGAGCAAGATACCTTGAGAGGTAATATTTAATATCACTGCTTTTAAAAGTCACAGTCGTGCTTTTATGGTACTGATGGTACATCATCTATTTCGAGGGCCGGAAAAAATCTCAGAACACTCACTGCTCAGTGTGTGCGTATTTTCTTGGCCTGAAAACATTTTAGTAACTGCTGCTTTTCACTTAAGATACTGTGACATCACTACAGTTATTCCTTGTAGGATCCAGACTGACACTTCTGGTTAGAAAGTGGCATTTAAGCACATTGTCATTTGGCATAGCATAACGCATGGCATTTTCCTCACTGCTTTGGCCTTAGAGTTGAACAAAAGTTTCCACTGAAGAACTTAGGAAAAATGTTGTGTAACCCAGCTATAAGTCATAAGAAGAAACCTCCCTCCCACTACTGCTGCTGAAGTGGAAACTCAAAAGTAGTTTTTCGCTTGGCTTAACTACAATACACCCTGACAACTTCGAGGGGCCAAGAATCATGTTTGTAGCCCAGCATATTTTCATGCGCACCGCAGCTCCCTTGTGAAAGTATACATTCCACCTGATAGTTGAACTGCCTGCATAGAAGCACTTGGTGTACAGCTCTTTCGATGTTGTGGAGATGGGCACCCTTCTCCCCTGTGACATGTAGCTTACATGAGGAGGCCAGCAGCCGTGAAATGCACAACACAGAAGTTGCACACCTGTCACAAAACAAGGAGCCAAGACCTCTGCCCTGCCTTTGTGTGTTTCTGTGTCAGGGGCTGCAGCAGCACCAGTAGCCATTGCTTCCTCCGGGGGTGCCCTAACTTCTGCCAGGGAGCTACATATGCAATGTCAGATCAGAGTTTGTGGGCTTAATGGATAAGCTCCAAGGTGATCTAGCTTGCTGGCTGATGTCCTGTTTTCAGGATGCCGCCAGTGTCACTTCATGCAAGGAAAATGGAGATAAAAATATTGCTGGGGAAGAGGTGCCTAACTTGCTTATTTTGGCCTTAGGTGGAAGATGCGCTGTCTTACCTTGACCAAGTGAAGCTGCAGTTTGGTAGCCAGCCTCAAGTGTACAATGACTTCTTGGACATAATGAAAGAGTTCAAATCACAAAGGTATAATTGAGTTTTATTACCAAGGTTAAATCTCTGGAGGTACCGCGTTTGGAAGTTTTCCCTCTTTGTACCCTAAATTCAGCCAGTTCCATCCCAGTCCTGCCCGCTTGTTCCTTGTGTGCTTGCCCAGTCCCCTTTTTGATCCCTGATCCAACATGCTCCAGATTAGTCCTGAAAAGGCACTGCTTTCACAAAGCCGAATTCTGCACCCAGGGATGCATCAATTCAAGTCCCTGAGCATGGTCTGAAGTGTGGGAACTGGGGTGGGGTCCGTGTTGGCCCATACCAAGCCCCGTCTGCTCCTCCCAGTGCCAGCCAAATCCCTGGCTTTGTGCAAACGAGCTGTGGGGACAGTGTGCTGTACGGAAGGCGCTTGAGCAGCATATGTGCTTCTTGGCTGGGTCTTGCAGCACATGCATTCCTGCTGCTGTCTCCAGTCCCAGACAGGTTGAGGTTCTCATACTGGAGATAACGCCCGGAACACAAAACTCTCAAATCCACCGACACCTGTGTTCTCCTTCACTCTGATCTGAGATTATTTTGGACTCTTTCCAGTTGGCCAGGGTAGTGGAACGCTGGGAGAATCCCTCCGATCTCAAATCAGAGAGAACAGAGGAAGCCCTGTCCTTGTATGGAACCCACAGAGGCTTGCCAGGTCAGAGGTGGGGCTTCCATGGGTCAGATGAGGCTGGTGGAGTGGATGTTACACACCCCTGATCCAAAGGGACATGATATGGGAACTTGGCCAAACCGGAGCCAGTCCGAGCACGTTTAGCACCTGGATAAGAGCGCAAAAAGAGGGTCAGTTGCAGCTGCAGAGAAAGATGACTGCCCACGCAGGGAAGGTTCCCACTAGTTTCTAAAGAAGCCTTTTTTGTCAAGGAAAACCTTCTTATGCTTCTTAATTATAATAAAAAAACTACTTGGAGCAAATTAGTCTGTTCAGGTGTACTGCAGCAGAACGATTGTCATAAACAGTTTGTGTTAAGCTTCAAATCTTAATCAAAGATCTTTCTTGAAATCTGCCAGATATAAATATGACAACGATAAATATAAATCAAAGACACTTATCAGCCCTTGAGGAAAAGAAAAAAAAAAACACATTTGGATGGTCCCAGTAAAGTTATTACCCATGGATTTGGGGAAACATAGATAAGCCTAGATCTACAGTTGCAGCACATGATAGAAATTTAACCTTGTGGTATTGGAGGTTTTCTGCTTGTACAAGGATTAGCTGTTGGAAGAAGGGGAGAAGTAGCGATTTCTTGGAGGCAAAGATGGTGAACTCCCCACCATTGCATGGAACTCTCTTCCCACCATTAGCACTAGAAACCTGAGTTTTGGAAAACAGATTGTCAGCCAGATTGTGCTATAACCTAAATTTCACCACATTCTGCAAATGTGTGAAAGGCCCATGTCTGTGTTTATTTAAGCACTTCTATTTGCTCCAGCAGATTGTTACAGAACCTGCTGCCTCTTGCTTTTTGCTAGTAGCCATCCGTGGTGTGTTTGAATAATAACCATCAAAAGTAGTGCTGTGATCTGTCTGAAAAGAGTTTTTGAAAAACCCTATAGAGAAGACTTGATCCTTTTCTTCTTCTTTTTTCTTTTGGTACAGCATTGATACTCCAGGAGTGATAAGCCGCGTGTCTCAGTTGTTCAAAGGCCACCCTGATTTGATCATGGGCTTCAACACCTTCCTACCCCCCGGCTACAAAATTGAAGTGCAGACTAATGATATGGTGAATGTAACAACACCGGGACAGGTTCACCAGATCCCAGCCCATGGCCTCCAGCCCCAGCCCCAGCCCCAGCCGCAGCACCCGTCTCAGCCATCGGCACAGTCTGCCCCGACCCCAGCGCAGCCAGCCCCGCAGCCTCCACCTGCCAAGATCAGCAAGGTAAAAGCAAGGTGTGAAATGGGTAGTCCTTACCTTGCAGCCGGACTCCATCTGGCTTGACTTTGATGGACTGTACAGAGAAGGTCCCCTGGAGGTAACGGGGACGTTGATTTTGGGTGCCTTTAAAGATAGACTTGCCTAAACGCAGGTTCTGTGGCAAGCAGCTGAGTCATGAGGCACAACCCACTGGCAAATGAACGGGAGCTGTGCATGAGCATCACTCCAGTTTGAATGTTCCTCCCCAGGCACTAAAACCTCATGGGGGCAGCCCTGCTTTTGGAGCTGTTTGCACTGAAATATTTCTCATCTTCATGGCGGGCAGCCATGGGGGTGGGCTTGTCAGGGAAGGGCATTGGTTTTGGGGAAGAAGCTGCACCAGTTCTGCATTATTCCATAATTCGTGTGCTGAGCTGCGCAGGATCCGAATCAAGGATGGAGAACCTGTCCTCGTCCAAATGCTGGGTTGTAGCTCTCGTCAGTTCTGATGATCGGCCTTGCTGTTTGAAGCTTCTGGTGGCTGGAGTCCAACCACATCTGCAGGGCCACTGGTTCCCCTCCCCTGGTCTGATCATTCTGGACGGTGGTCCTGGGCATGCATTTTCTGAGTTGGCCCTGTTGTTCCTTCCGGTCTCTGTGCATCACACACGTGGTCTTGTGTGCCTGCGCAAGGCCTACACATACTGGGGGGAACCCAAAATGCAGTGGTGTATGAGGGTTCTTGGGCTCCCACCCACTGTTAGCAATAACAGCTCAGTGACAGGGAGTCACAATAAAACTGTTGGCTCTAAAAAATAATAGAAGCAGACAGTTTTAAAAAGTTTTTAAGGCCTCTATAGAAATGGCCGGGCAAACTCTAGTGGAAGGGGAGTCCGTTTTCTAATGTGATAATAATGTGTGCTATTGGTATAGCAGTCCATAAAGATAATTTCCTTGTGTTTATGGGTAAATTGTGCACACATCTGGTTCCCCTTTCCCCCCCTGCACCCCAGTCACCATGCAGCAGATTAATAGGAAGAGCTATTCATGGCTCTGTGGTATTGCTGCGTTGAAATGGGTTGTTCGGATATTCTTATTTAACCTTCTGCTGCTTTGTTCAGAGCTTTAATTGTACACACACTTACTAGGGAGCAAGTCCCATTGAACATAGTGGGATTTACAGTTGAGTAAACATCTCAGGATCAAGCTGCAAAGTAAGTCGCTGAATGAACAATGCCCTGGCTCCTGCTGTTGGCAGGAACAGACTCCGTGCTGATCTGTAATGTTCCGGCCCCTTACCGAGACAGAGCCTAGATATACTTTCTCTTAGTGCAGCTGTGTAAGCCAGTCTCCGCTTCCTCTTTCTCAGCCTTCCCAACTGCAGACACATACGCCAGCCAGCCAACAGACGCCCCCAATCCCCTACGCTTCCCCTCGTTCCCCACCAGTGCAGCCCCACACGCCTGTGACAATCTCCCTGGGAACCACGCCGTCCCTCCAGAATAACCAGCCCGTTGAGTTCAATCATGCCATCAACTATGTGAACAAGATCAAGAATCGTTTTCAGGGACAGCCGGACATTTACAAAGCTTTCTTGGAAATACTTCATACCTATCAGGTGAGTGGGCGGCTGTATAAATATGCAGGCATTTTATTCCTGTTCTATTGTATTTAGTTTTATAATAAAGGGAAGGATGATTTGTGGAGGGAAAGGAAGAGGGTGGTTATTAGCTGGTCTGGTATAATCGGCAGTAAACAAGCTGTGTTTGGCATTGTTTTTGCTTCAGCCGACCTGTTGCAGTAGCGGAAAATGCCTGCAGGGCAATACAGCAGAGATATTTGAAAATAGTATGTTATAGGTGCAGCACATACAGAAGGTGTCACACTTGTAGAACAGCCAGATGCTCCTCTTCAGTGTCTGGGCTTTGGTAGAATCTTTTCAGAAACGGGTATCAAAACTTCTCCAGTATCCTTTCCATTCTTATCTTTTGATGCACTTCTAAGCATTTGAATTAGATGCCATAGGTTAACAGAAGCTGTTGAACAGCCAATGAGAGCTCAGTGGCTTTTACTGGACATCCTCTTCTGTCTCTTGCTAGAAAGAACAGCGGAACGCCAAGGAAGCAGGCGGCAATTACACACCAGCACTAACTGAGCAGGAGGTCTACGCTCAGGTGGCCCGGCTCTTTAAGAACCAGGAGGACCTACTCTCAGAATTTGGGCAGTTCCTGCCTGATGCAAATAGTTCTGTTGTGAGTTTATTTTTAATACTATCACTTACTTGCAGGAAGTCTCTGACAGGGTGTTAACTTGGCTTTCATGTCCTGTATGGCACAACTTGTTTACTTGTATACGGGATTCTTTATTAATTGACTGGAGTGTTGATGTGTGCATGCACCAGAAAGGAGGCTAAGTGGGGGTGAGGGAAGCATTGAGTTTCTATAACATCATAATCCTTTTTTTTTCTTTTTGGGTGGTTAACATTTTTTGGTAGGGGAAAACCAGAGGCTTCTAGAGCTTTCTGGGAAGGAATCGACATAGGAACTTCCAACAAAATCTTGCAGAGTGGCATGCTGTTGTTGAGTCATGGCATCCCCTGGAAAAGACCATTCTGTTCCCCAAATTGGTTAGCTTTCCCTGCCTGCTTAACATGTATAGCCATCATTGGGATCTTGGACCCATTAGGATTTTTCCTGAAGATGCTGTGCCTGCTGATAATACAATATTTAGAAAAAACCCTGCTGATTCCTCTCTCTCGTGTGAGAATGTTGCTGTCTTAGTTATGGCAGGCCTATACTCAGACAATTTAGCTCCGTTTTAATATATAGAATGTATAATTTGGAGAGATGCAAGTCCAGTCTCACCCTCCCACAGCAAGCCCATGAACATCCATGCCCCAACCAGTTTTACATTAGGATTCTGAAACATACAGTCCCTCCTCTAGGCAGTTACACATTATTGTACAGTTTGCAATATTGGGATGAATAACTGGCTTGCATGTGGTTCTTCTAAATAAGCTGTTAAGCAAGACAACTGCCGAGAAAGTGGAGTCTGTGAGGAATGACCATGGAGGCACAGTCAAAAAACCGCAGCTTAACAGCAAGCAGCAAAGACCTAACCAGAACGGTTGTCAGATCCGGAGGCACACCTCAGCTGGGACAACTCCTCCCGTGAAGGTAAGAAGATACCCTCTTTTCATCAGTAGGCTAGTACCAAGTACTTCCCCCATGTATAAACAAATCCTGCATTTTATAGTTTGGTAACTAATCTAAAAAGGTGTAGAGAGTTAACTGTTGCTCTGTGGCACTTTATCAGAGGCTGAAGTGTGTTTCCATGGACTCAAGCACCCCCTTTGGACACCTGATGCTTTTCTTGAAATATTGATAGTTACCTTTCTGGACTATCCATAGTTGGCATTTTTTACATGGCTGCCAACAGCCAGGAAAATAGCCGCAGAAAGGGGGCAGCGGAAGAGTTGTCGCATTTCTACATAAAGCCCAGCTGTATATGAAGCGACCAGCAAGAGCTCATCCACGACAGCAGCCAGCAGTTTGCTTCACTTTTTGCTTAATGTACAAGTTGGTGGATTTTCGCTTGAAACAGCGTTTGTTGGGACAGTTCCTTTTGTAGACATGCTTAATGCTTTAATTTATTAAGGTCCACGATGCAGGATTAGTGTATTTCTATATCAAGGGTCATATAAAAGGAGTGGTGAGGTAAGTTGCAGGTGTTTGGGGGTGGGTACGCTAGAAAAGCCACCTAGCACCGTGTTATGGCAAATGTAAGGCTGGTGGATGTTTCCAGGTGAGGACTCGGTCCTATAATTTCATGATGCTTCAGGAATGCAAAAATAGTGGCGGGACTGTGCTGCTCCATGTAGGAGAGAAGAGAGTTTTAAAGAGCGAGGTGGCCTTGATGGGAGGAAGCAGTCGAGGCAGATGTCCCTGCTAGCTCTTCTGTGGGATTTGCAAGGAGGTGGGGGTCAGCGGAAAACACAAACTTTGTCTCCCTTGTAATACATGGACGGGACATCAACAAATAAGTGCTTCTAGTACAAGGTTGATGATCTACTGCTGATGTCCGGACATGTTTCAGATTAAATTCTGTTTGCAATTCCTTGTTCACTATTTAGTAGGGAAGAGTATGGACAGTGTAGCTTTTGTTGCTGGGATTGTGTACCTAAATAGGCTGTGCCTTCTCAAGCTAATGAAGGCAGCAAAGGGAGAAATTAGTAACTTTTATTTATTGGCTGGTTTTCTTACAATTCAAAGAAATCTTTCTCGTGACTTCCTTTATGCATCTGCAGTGGCAGTTTGCACCCTATCAAAATGACACCAAAATTATGTACCTGTTCCACTCCTGTTTACCTGCACAGTGGTCTAGTGAAACCAAAATGTGTTGATGTAGATAACAGTCGTGGGATTAGCTTTTCAACTTAAAAAGCAAACAACTTTCTTGTGGTTTGTGCTCTCTCTACAGAAGAAACCAAAGCTCCTTAATTTGAAGGACCCATCAGTGGTAGAAGCTGGTAAACATGGAACAGAATCTCTGTTCTTTGACAAGGTGAGGTGGTATTATGAAAAGGTAGCTTTGGATGACTTAAATCTTGTATTGGCTACAAAAAAACCCCACAGCATTGACTCTCAGTCAGACTACAATGCAGTTCTGAGTATATTTCCTTGGAAGTAAGTCCCATTTTGTTGGGTAGGGTGTAATCCTATGTAAGTGTGCATAGGTTTGCTGCCTTAAGCTGGGTTTGTTACCTTGCTGCCTTTTTACTTCCCAGACATGGTCCCTCAATCTTAGCATCTCATATGGGTGGGTTTTTAATCTCTGCCCCCAAACTTTGCATCGTTGTGCAGTTTTTGTCCTCTGCTATTTGTGTGTCATCCACTGAAACTGACATCTGGAGATCATACTTTTCGAAACTACTATATGACCAAGAGTCATCTTTTTAGAGGATACAGAAATGACTTGGCACAAGCAGAAGTATCAGTTTATTACAATAGCTGTCCAGTTCTGATCACTGCATTTTCCTGAATTTTTGCCACTGCTGATTCTGACACTGAAGTGACATCTTCACTATGAAGCAAGTTCTTTTAGAAGAATGAGCTGGCCATGGGCTGGAATTGGGAGGCCTCTCCCATTTTTTCCCTAGAGTCTGTTTTCCTTCTTTCTCTTGAGTGATTGGTTGCAGGGGCCAAGTCTGGTTACTTTAGCGGCTAAAGGAGCTAAAGTTTAGCCCATTCCAGGTGAGGATTTCCCTGGTTTTTGTCAAGTAGTGGATCATGAAGGAGCACACCTGACCAAGGCTGAGGGCATTCTGTGCCTCACAGCTCAAGAAACTGAACCAGAGTGGGCAGCCCCGCTGCCACCTCACCTGCACGTTGACCCTGAGGCATGAGTCCTGAGTGACAGCCCTTCATTTGTATGAGCCGCCTGGTCTCCAGTAATAGCCTATTTCTCGCTGGTGCTTCAGTTTATTCATTTATTTAAAACATATGTCACTTACCTCACCAATGGCATTCCAAGGTGCCTTGTGTTGGTTTCTTCGTCATTCAGGTGTCCTGACTACATTCACCTACTTGCAGCCGACTGTCATAATAATTGCCAGTTGGCTGTTATGGAATGATAGCTGGAGAGTCATGATCACTGACATTATGCAGGAGAAGCCAGTCCCTTTTTCTCTTGACTAACTCTCTCCCCGCACCCTTTCTGAATTGTTTGTAAAGGTTCGCAAGGCTCTTCGCAGCACAGAAGCATATGAGAATTTCCTCCGTTGCCTGGTTATTTTTAATCAGGAGGTTATCTCGCGAGCTGAGCTTGTGCAGCTAGTTTCTCCATTTTTGGGGTAAGTAAAATAAGTAAATAGATCCTTTTGGTTTGCACCTGCATGACTTATTTCCATCTCTGGTTGGGCATTTGACTAAGTAGATGATGAACTCCTTCGCTGCACTCCAACCGATATGGTTTGGAGGACTATAAATGGGCACCTGTGAGAACAGCACTCATTTACTCCTTCCCTTTTCCCCTTCTCCCAAGCACAAGGGAGTGAGATACTTCTATTTCAGTTAGTGGCAAACCACAGTTACAATGTGCTGCCTGCATCACAAACTATGGTTTATTTTAAACCAGGATTAAAAACAAAAAGGCTTCAAAAGACTCGCTATTAATCACATTTTAAATGTGTCAACCCTTTAAACATCTCTCTGCAGCCTGCTTTGTAACATGTTCTCTTTTTTCTTCTCCCCTGCCTTTCCTTTCTTTCAGAAAATTCCCAGAGCTTTTCACTTGGTTTAAAAACTTTCTAGGCTATAAAGAGTCCGCACACATGGAGACCTTTCCCAAGGAACGGGCTACAGAGGGCATAGCAATGGAGATAGACTATGCTTCCTGTAAGAGGCTGGGCTCTAGCTACAGAGCCTTGCCAAAGAGCTACCAGCAGCCAAAGTGCACAGGTCGGACCCCGCTGTGTAAGGAGGTAAGGCAGTGCTCTTTGTGCAGGAGGAAATGGATGCTGGTGGAATGCAGCTGGGGCCAGAGTTTTGTTCCGTTCAGCCCCATATTACCTGCTCTGGTTAGTGGCTTTTATACATTGGTGTTCTGTCTGTGTTTTTTCCCAGTATGTACATAAGCTGTGCGTATGCACATATGGCAGGTTTTTAAGGCAGCTGCATGCATCATCCATGCCTTCCTCCATCTGGCATCTTCCAGGCTGGTAGGGGGGAAGTTGCTGTATGTTTTTATTCTGAGAAATACCAAAGTTCTTGCTAGTATGCTGTACACAGCAACCACAACCGCTGTGTAAACTGTGGAAAGAACCATTTTGAAGTATTTTGAAGTGATTTTGTCTTTGAATTAGAAGGCACTGTGATATTCCTGAAATCATAGACTTACCTCCTAACCATTGCTTTAGGCTGATGTAGATGAGACTAGTTCTTGGGTCCTGCCGTAAAATGCTCACACGGTCCTATTCAGTTGTGCTCAGAGCATCCTGACACTCTCCATTACAGTTTTGAACTGTTGTGCTTTTAAAATTTGTACTTTGGAATATTTTTATGGTTGTTTCATTGTATTTTAGCTCTGTTTTAAGAATGTTGCAAACTGCCCAGGGAGCCTCAGCTATTAGGTAAAATAGACACGAGATCTGTAAATAGAACAGGGTGGACAACCTCAGGCCTAGAGGCTAAAATTTACCCTGCTGAGGTCCCAGAGTAGCCTTTCATTGTTCCCCAGACAACCATGCCTCCTTCTCCCTGATAGGCCCCATGTCCCCCAACCACGGATTATTTGGTGGTTTCCTGCCCCCCCCCCCCTTTTTGTGGTGAGGGTGCAGCTTCTCTAACAGGTTAAAATGCCTTTCGTAAGGAGTATGGCAGAACGTTCAGCTAAAGCATCTTGGTATGTTTCGTTTTGGTTTTTGTCCTTATGTGGCCAAACGTGCCTTCGACCACATTTTCTACTGGAATGCAGCTCCCAAGGGTGTGTTCTGAATTAAATCAAATCCTTGCGCTGGAAGAGGTCCTCTCTTCTGCTCTAGAAATATTTCTTTTAGAGACACAGTTACCAACAAAAAAACTCTTTTGTTACTGTCCTTCCTTATATATTTGTGGATGTTCTTGCAAATGATAAGAATGTGCTCTTATCTGGAAGCTGGAATGAAAGTTACCCAATCATAAATGAGATATTCCTCCCTTCTCCACTCCTCTAAGGTTTTGAATGACACTTGGGTCTCCTTTCCATCATGGTCTGAAGATTCTACATTTGTGAGCTCCAAGAAGACTCAGTATGAAGAGCACATCTACCGGTGTGAGGATGAACGATTTGAGGTAGCTGCAGCAGGATTTAATCTCTTGGGAAGCTCGGGGAACTGGGAGTTAGTTGGCCCGGTGGTGACCTTGGCAAATGACATGCTGTGACTCAAGTCTTGGTAGTAATATGAGAATGACATAAGCTGGACCTTCCCAACTTGTCCTTCTGTAATCCTCAGAAAAACTGCTTGCTCCTGTGTCTGTCCTGAAAGTAAAATTCTTCCATTCATACGCTTGATGTGTTGCTTTGCTTCACCTAGAAGTTGATTTTCCTATTGTGATAATACCCTCCACACATTGAAAATTGCATTTAAGCAATCCTTCAGTCTGAATCAACACTTCTTAAAAGTTCAGCTTGGAAATTATTTGTTCTGCCCTTTTAGCCTCACTTCTTGCTGTTCTGCACAGACACACTACAAAGCTCCTTATGCCAACTGTGAGAACTCCAGTTTACTTGCCCAGGTCTGCCAGAAACTGTTTTAAAATCATTTTGGTTGTAACTACAAGCCACAACTCACGACTTCTTTCCATTTCAGCTGGATGTTGTCTTGGAGACCAATCTAGCAACCATCAGAGTCCTGGAAACAATACAAAAGAAACTGTCCCGCTTATCAGCTGAAGAGCAAGCCAAATACCGACTGGACAATACATTAGGTGGCTCCTCCGAAGTTATCCACCGCAAGGCTTTGCAAAGGATATACGCGGACAAGGCAACTGATATCATCGACGGGCTTAGGAAGAATCCTGCTGTTGCAGTTCCGATTGTGTTGAAAAGGTAACTGACACACCGAACAGACAGTAAAGCGTTTGCTTCGGCGTTGGTAATGGCATTCTACAATTCCCATCCAATGTTGCTTGTCAATGCGGTTACGTGGCCATGAATTCCAACATGAATAGAGAGAGCGGCAGAGCATCAGTAGCACCGTCTGCTGTTACCATAGTCTCCCACTCTCGTTCTCCGTGCTGCTAGTGGCAAAATAAATAGATTTCTCTTAATCCTTGATTGTTCAGATAGGATTCATTTGGGCAGAAGACGTTACCTGTGAACTCCGCTTTTGTTTTTTTGTCCTTGCTGCCATAGGCTTTTGTCTAACCCTGCTGCCTTTCTTACTGCTAAGGTTAAAAATGAAAGAAGAAGAATGGAGAGAAGCCCAGAGAGGATTCAATAAAGTGTGGCGGGAGCAGAATGAGAAATACTACTTGAAGTCCCTCGACCACCAAGGGATCAACTTCAAACAGAATGACACCAAGGTCTTAAGGTCCAAGAGTCTTCTCAGTGAAATAGAGACTATTTATGATGAGGTAGGTTGCGGGCTCCTTTCTTAGTTACTTGCTCACTGTACTCCCTTGATTTCAACTTCGCTTTGTCTCGATTGGTTGCTAGTCAGAAGAATATTGTGAATTTATTTGTGGTGTCGATTGCTTAGTATAATAAAATCCCTAGCAGTTCACGTACACATATTAAAATCCCATTTAAACTGCTACACTGAAAGCAGTTCCCAATACAGGAGTAATACTAGAAAGATAATTGTTTAATGCTGCCTTTCTGGGTGGTTTTTGGTTTTGGTGACTGAAAAGAACATAACCGCATTTTACTTTCTGTTTTGTAACTCATCCAGGAAGCATGTGTTGAGTAGGTGGCCATATAAATTTGGTAGTACTAAGAAAATTGTAAAAACACACACATTTTAGAGGAGCTTTGTACAAAACCGTTACATCAATACTGGCACAGAAGTTAATTTTTCTCAGGTACAGGATGTCATCCTTACCTTCACAGGTGGTCCTTTTTAAGTGACAAGAGAAGAAGCAGTGTGCGGGTGGGTTTCACTCTTTGCTTCTTGGTTTCCAGAGGCAAGAACAGACCTCTGAAGAGAATGCCGGTCCTCACCTGTCGTTGGCCTACGAGGACAAGCAGATCCTGGACGATGCGTCCTCTCTCATCATTCACCACGTGAAGCGCCAGACCGGCATCCAGAAAGAGGACAAGTACAAAATCAAGCAAATTATGTACCACTTCATCCCTGACCTGCTCTTTGCTCAGAGGGGGGAGCTCTCCGACGTGGAGGAGGAGGAGGAGGAGGAGATGGATGTGGACGAAGGCTCCGGGGCCGTGAAAAAACACAACGGTGTCGGGAGCAGCCCCCCCAAAGCCAAGCTGCTGTTCAGCAACACGGCAGCCCAGAAGCTGCGCAGCATGGATGAGGTCTACAACCTCTTCTACGTGAACAACAACTGGTACATCTTCCTCCGCCTGCACCAGATCCTGTGCTTGCGCTTGCTGCGAATATATACCCAGGCTGAGCGGCAGATAGAAGAGGAAAACCGGGAAAGGGAATGGGAGCGGGAAGTGCTGGGCGTAAAGCGAGACAAGAGTGACAGTCCTGCCATCCAGTTGCGGCTGAAGGAGCCCAGTAAGTGCACGTTGGACTGGTCGTGGGAGGGAGAGGAGGGTGGTGCTGGGCACTCGGGGCTGTTCTCCAGACCATGCGGGGGGGCGTTGCTGCCTGTTGCAAGAGGTCTCCTCCTTCCCATCAGCAACTGCCGTTGTTTCCCCCTTTTGCAACAGCCAGGAGTCCCTGGGTCGGTGGTGGGCAATAGCTTATGTGACTCTAAAATGGGATGCTGGGCAAATTTGCAGAAGCTGGGTGTCACCATGATCATTTTTAATTAAGTGGGACATCAGCTCTGGTGCAGTGAAGCTCTGATACTGGATACTGAGGGATAAAGAAGAGGAAAGGGCTGGGCTAGTCTGTCCTTTGTGCCCTGGCAGTAAGTTTTCCCAAATCTTGCAATGGGCCCTTGGCGGAAATGGAAATTTGGACTGACGGATATTTTTCTTGGATTCAGCTTGGCTGCTGTTCGGATCCAGCTACCAGCCCTTTGTTCCCTCTTTGCTGTGTTGCTTGTACGTCTTGGCTGAAGCATGTATTCTCCAGACCTTAGATGACTTTATGACATACATGCAAGCAGTAAATTTCTGCTACTAGCATCCAAAACAGTTTTATTTAAGTAACCCAAAGACTAAGCTTTTTCTGTGAATTCAGGCTGCTTGCTGCCAACAGATTTGTCCTTTTGACCTTGAGTGGTAAGTCACGTGAGAGAAAGATCGTTGAGCCCAATAGAAGACCCTGCTTTGTAAAGCAAACAGCCGTATGAGCCAACAGCTGTACTGGTTCTTGATGTGCATATTCTCCATCGCAGAAATATATGAATATCGAAGGTGTAAACTCCAGCTGACTAAAAAGTGGAATCAGGTCCCACTGATCCAGCAGTATGGTGGATCAGGCACTGCTGTGTCATGATCCTTTATATCTCACCATGTTGCTGCTTCTTTGGCTTGTATTTTTTTCCCTTATGCCAAGGGCATAGATTGGACTGTTTCCTAGAGTATCAGGCTCTCCAGATTTCTGGGACTCAGCACTGAAGCTGCATGCAGCATTCCCGGGCTGAAACACTTCCACAAAGCTAAGAGCAATGAGCCAAGAGTTAAGCACGGTTGGGTGAATGAATCTATGAGAAAAAGAGGCTGTTGCATTTCCTTGCCTAACATTTCTAGCTTTTGGGTGGCAGAAAGAAGTGATGGTTGAAATGGAGTAGGGTAGCCTTTCTATTAGATATATCCAGAAGTATGTAGAATAGAATCACATTTTTATGCTTTTTGACTATCTTGTTCCAGGGTGGTTTTTCCTTGTAATGAAAGTATTTCGGCTATTTTATAAACTGCAACCTTCCCTGTTCCAAGTTTCTCAGACAGTAAAACCATACCTGAATGTATAGAGAGACAGACTTATTTTATGCCCTACCAGTGATACCAGCTCCAACCATTTTTGAGAGCTATAGTGCTATCCCGTATATGATCCTCAGAAGTAAACCCCAGTAAATTCAGTGGATACTTCTCCCAGGAAGTGGTTCTAAGGGTCTAACCTTGGGAACATTGATTGGCCATCAAACTTTTCCTTTTGCCCTTGTCTGTTCAGATCTCTTTATTGTGGCAACTCTTCAAACGCTTGCAGTTGTTTATCTCTCATTTTAACAGAGCAGTGTATCTCCCCCTATATCAACATTTAAGTGCCAGACAAGAGCAAGAGACAGGCCTCTGGCACTGATGCACTCTCTTCTCCATCTTGGTGTTGCATTTCACAGTGTGCTTCCTTATTTTCTTTCCCATTTTAGTGGACATTGATGTGGAAGACTATTACCCCGCTTTCTTAGATATGGTGCGGAACTTGCTGGATGGTAACATGGACTCTTCCCAGTATGAAGATTCTCTTCGGGAGATGTTTACCATTCATGCCTACATTGCCTTTACCATGGACAAGCTGATTCAGAGCATCGTGAGACAGGTGATTCTCCCAGTGTATTTGTGGCAAGGGCAGAAGTGCTGGAGAAAGCCACGTATGTTTCCTGTCCCCAAAGGAAATGATAAAAGACTAAATATCTGAGTTTAATTTGATTGAAATACCTAAGAGCTGAGGCAAGAATTGCCTTTAATGAGATCTGAAAATGTAATTATGGGTGGCATATATAGAGTAAGAAATTCATAGGCAGGAGCGTCAAACCGTACACTCTTCCACCTTCATTCTGAAAGGATACAGTTTGTCTATTTAGAATGCATTCCTGTGGGATTTATGTATTTATTGTCTATACCTCCCATTAGCCAAAGCTCTCCCCCCTTCTTTTCAGATTTAATTTATCCTAATGGATGCCTATGTTGAATAGACTTTTAAAAAAGATAAAATTGTATATCTTTGGGAAGCATTAGCTGTACTACCTGTTAATGCAGCCTAGTTGGGAAAAGATGTGGAAACATCTGTAAACCACTTTCCAGTGGCTCATGATAAATATTGTCAGGCCAGCTTTTAAAAATGTAGCCACTGGAAAACCATGCAAAGGCTCAGTTCATAACACACGTTTGCCATTGTGTGGATAAGATTCTTCTGACTAGAATTCCAGAATAGCATTAATTGAACTCCGGCAAGTTTACTGTTCTGCAGCTTCTTGGAGAGGGAGGAGGATGAACTGTCATTACTGACCTACAGTCTTCAGCAGTTGGAATTTATTTTTTAAAGAGCCTTTCCTTACTTGCTCCAGCAGCTGTTGACCTTGGCTGTCAATGTATTTATTTAAAACTTTGTTGACTAGGCAATAGTGGCTGCTTTTGGAAAAAATCAACAGCCTCATGGAAGATGGATGTGGCTACTTAGGAGGAGAAGTTAATCGGTAGCAGACGATTCTCCAAGCTTTCTTTCAAAAAGTATCTTAATGTTCCTTCTCCCTTTTTGTTCCGAAATTGCCAGCTTCAGCACATAGTGAGCGACGAAATCTGTGTGCAGGTAACAGAGCTCTATCTGTCTGAAAGCAACAATGGAGCTACTGGAGGCCTGTTGTCCTCTCAGTCGTCTCGGTCCCTCATGGAAACCGCATACCAGCGCAAAGCTGAGCAGCTTATGCAAGACGAGAACTGCTTTAAGGTAAAAAGATTGACCTGGAGGTTTTACCAGACTAGGTAGGGTGAGCCTGATGTGCTTTCTGACGGTAAGGCTTGGGGTACTTCTTCAGTTTTACTAATCCAAATGCCCAAGGAAACACCTGCGTTTCCAAGGTACATTAAATTTTATTGAGCAGCTCTCTATTTTACAAGCCTTATATGATAGTGTCAAGTCAGTGGCATTAAGGCCGTAATCTACCAGTTTCCATGCAATGTAAATAAATCAAGAACATACTGTGGGCTTCTTACTCATGCGGCAATGCCTCCAGACAGATCCCTCTTAGGACAACTAGCGCTGTAATATCATATAGGTAAACTGGCATGCTTCATTAAACTAAAGGCCTACATAAAACGGTGTCTGTGTGTAGGGAGGGTATATTTGTTGCCTGTCATTTCTGGCCTCTCCCAGTCTGATCTCTTCCATCATTACTGCAGCATGCAGAAGTGTACAGATCGGTGCCTAGTTTTGGAATGTAGTATTGTTTTTGAACTAGTGGAAATTTATCTGAGTGTTTTTTCCCCAAATGGTTTGTATTGCACATCATTCAAGTTGAAAGTAATGTCTTCTGGTCAAATCCCAGCAAATTATTTTCCGCTCTCCCTGTTTTGGGCAAGCACAAAAAGAGGAAGCCTGCATCTTTTGTGGAAACTTCTTTCTAAGCGTATGCTTTGAGCAAACTCTTGTTTCTCACATGCAAGCAGGCAGCTTGGTTCAACAGATTAGAAGCCTGTGATGGTTTCTGCTGTTAGGGCCTGTCAGCACAATTCGAGTGCTTTTCTTTTTTCGTTGGGCCTCTTTTACCCACTGTCCTCATGAAAATGAAATGCTTACAGGATAGACAGCATGGCTTCCCACGGGCCTGGGTCCTTACAGTTCTCTTTTTAGAAATGAATGCTTGTGTTCTCTCCACAACCAGAGTACACAGACTTCTTTCTCCCCTTTGTGTGTGCGTTTTTTAACGCCAATACAACATATGTTTCCTTTCCTCCACCTCTCTGTCCACACAACTCTCCCGTGCCTTTGCACAGATAATCCCACACTCCTGCGCAGGACTTCATGTATGTTACCGATTGCATCCTCCTTTTTTATATAGCAACTTATTTATTTCATGTCTACACTGTCCAACAGCTGAAGGTCTCTTCTTAAGCTGCTCTTTAAAATTAAATTTATGGTCACTCAGCAAGTCTTAATTGTAGAAAGAAAGGGGCTTTCGGGCCAGTTTTTTTGCTGTTTCGACCCTTCCTCGCCTTCTAGGAAGCTAGCTTGATATCACTGTGCCAAGTGCAAACTGAATAGTGTATCTGGGCACCTAGAAAAACTACTGGGAGAGTCTGTGAGCTTGCTGAATCCTTGTATTCTGTTGTGCAGTTGTTGTTCATTCAGAGCAGAGGCCACGTTCAGCTAACCATTGAGCTGCTTGACACAGAAGAGGAGAATTCTGATGATCCTGTTGAGGCAGAGGTAAGACGGGGCTGCGGCTGCAGGTCCTTTATGCAATCTTTATGGCAGTGTTCAGGTGGGCTTAGATTCCCTATTTAGGCCTTGATTCTCCTGGAGAAGATGCAAGCATGCGGCTTTATGAAATCCATCGCATACCTTGAAATGACGGACAAATACAGCACTTGAATGCGAGTTACAGTTGTGTGTAGAGCCAGACATTTACCTGGTTTAGTGTTTTCAGCTTGGTAATGAGAGTGTGACCTTTTTAAATAAATAATGAGGGTGAGATTGCTTGCCACTTGAGATAACAAATTCCAGATTTTGTTCTTTGAAAAGTTTACAAGGGAGTGAACTACAAGATGCTACTTGCTGTTTCTGACATTTGTTTTTGTTCTTTAAAAAAAAAAAAGCTAAATGTTTGGTAGCATTTTTGTTTATGCACAACATGGCATTTTAGCATCAAGTCTAATGACAGAAGTGACTGTTTTGTGCTGCCCAGAATCACTGCCAAAGCTGATGGGGTCTGATGCCACTGTTATTTCATTTTGCGGCGGCTTATGGTGTAGCTGGTATAGCACAGTGAGGAAAGGCACCTGGCTATAGAGCCGGAATCTGTGAGTTCAAATCCCCTCCGTTCCTTTTCCGGAGCTGTGTGAGCCGCCTTGTGTTCCTCACAAGAGTGTAAAAAGGCGGGACACACGAGTAAATGCACTGTAATACATGCATTGTAATCGTGCCTCTGGATGAGTAATGCGGTCTTTTCATTAATATAGTACAAACAGCGACACACAGAGGGCCAGATGTGCTTACTGAACTTAATGTGAACTTGTTAAGGCTGCTTGGTGTCTGCCCAGTAGGGAAGAGGGTGATGGCATTCTGGAAGAGGCTTCTGGAGTTTACAAATGTGGTCCAGGAAGTTGCAGATTTTCCCTGGGATTAAAAGTGTATAAAGGCATGACTTTCTAAAAGCAACAGCCCAACACTTACAAATATTGTAAAGCTGCTCTGTTAAAATTGCATTCATTTTAACCATTGTATTTTTAAATTTTGTTTGTAATGAAAAGGCCAGAGAGCATAGTTCGGACTCGTATGTGTTTGGCAGCGGATGTCGGGTGACCAGGCATGGTAGATGTTTCTTTCACTCCTTTAAAATCCTAGTTGCATACAATTCTGCTGTACTCTGTACAATAAATAAATGGCGAATGGTACAGGCATGCTGTTTTTTCATTTGGGGAGAGCTCCTCATCCTTCCCTCTTTGTTCTGCATCCCACTGCAGCGTTGGCCTGACTATGTGGATCGGTACGTCATCGCTGATTCTACCTCTCCCCAGTTGCGGGAACAGTTGGCCCAAAAGCCTGTTTTTCTGCCAAGGTGAGTGGACTGAGATCGTGCACCACAGTTCACTGTAATTGGCCAGTTTGAAATGTGCCTTTCCTCTGGAGATCTGGGCCCTATGACATGGGATCACTGTAGAGGAACGGTCAACTTGACAGCACATTGCACCAGTATTATGCTGCTGATAATGACCTGCAAGCTCCTGGTAGGTGCCATATTGTGAGATGCCCCAAAAAATCTACAGAAAGAAGAAAGGTCATTGTTGCTAGCGTGAGCTTGGCCAGATTAGCTTTGGCATTTATGTTAAACGTGTTGGATGCCAAATGTTTTTCACACCAATAACTTGCTTCCACCATCGCTACTATTAAAAAGGTCACCATTTTGTGAACAACTTGGAATCCCTCAGACAGAGTAAAATGGCCAGAATTTGTTGGTTGTTTGTTCTGAAAAGGTATGCCCTGCTGTGGTGAAGCAACTTCATCCCATTAAAGAAATAAAAATGCATAAAAATAGAAATGAGCTCAGCAGATTGAAGCATTCTGAAATCAGCATCTACTACATAAAAACCATCTGCCCAGCAAGGCAGGAAAGTTTTCACTAGTTGGTGAATAATTGGAGGAGAGAAGATCTGACAGATCTCTTATAATTGGGTTGGGGTCTGGTAAATCTTGGTGTCCCAACCAATTGTTCCCATGCCACAGATGGGACGCAGAAGAGGGCTTCTTCAGTAGAGGGAGATAGAAATAGGCAGGAGGGTACCGACAGAGGCAGTCCTAATGAGTAACTCCAGTGTGAGCCATTTAGCATTTTAAAGGTAATTGCCAGCCCAGAAGCAAACTGGCAGCCAGAGCACTTGCAGAACAGATGTGATCAGATCCCACCTAGGTCTTTGGCACAGTATTCCTGTCCAACTGGAGCTTCCCAAGATTCTTCAAAGGTAGAGTCGAAGAACCTACCTGCAGGGTTCATTGCAGCCATCCAGCTTGGCAGTAACGGAGGCATGAGTTGCCAAGGCCCGATCGGATCTTCTCAGGGCAGTCGGCATTGCCTCCCACTTGCCTGTAGGGGCAGGCAGAGACTCGTCCACTCGGGGTTCGGCACAAGCGAAGCGTGGCGTGCAGAGAGGGCTGGCTAACTGAATGCTTGTTGTGCAGCGAGCTTTTGGGTCCTCTGCTTGAAGGATGGAATGAGAACATCAGAAAAGCCACACTATATTGGACCACTGGTCCATCGAGGCCTACATTCTGTTTCCACAGTGGCCAACAGGAAGGCGAGAAGGCTCATTTTTTTGGCCAGGCCAGGCCAGGGCGGGCATCTGAAATAGCAGCTTCTCCTCCTCCTCAGTGCGAGGCGAGCGTCAGATTAGGCAGTGCTTGAGAAGCCTCTGCTTTCATCCCAGGCTCAGCTCTGGTGGAAAGAGCTCGGTTCTGCTCTCCAGCATCCGCCGACAGGCAGAGAGAGGATGCAGGGAACCACGAGGATTGTAATGTGCACACCAGCCCTTACACTCCGATTTCTCCAGCACAGACAGTGTGATGAGTTTAGAGGAGCAGGCCCCGTGATCCACAGCAGCCTTGAGAGGGAGGTAGGCACTAATTCCAGCAGGGGCTCTCTGCTTTACAGGAATCTGAGAAGGATCCGGAAGTGTCAGCGGGGTCGGGAGCAGCAGGAGAAGGATGGGAAAGAGGGGCTCAGTAAGAAAACCCCGGAGAATATGGACAGCTTGAACAAGCTGGAGTGTAAATTCAAGCTGAACTCCTATAAAATGGTCTATGTGATCAAATCGGAGGATTACATGTACAGGAGGACCGCTCTGCTACGTGCCCATCAGGTAGGTTCGAGACACGGAGATGTGATGAGCCGCTGTCCAGAGGGTAGCTGGACTGTGATGAGCCGCTGTCCCGCTCCCCCAAGGGGAGCCGTGGACAGCCAAAACATCGCGAGCTCTTGATCTCAATGCCCTTGGCGTTCTCTGCTCGCACCCCTGTGACCTGCGGATGGAGAGTGCCCTGGCCGATGGCCCTTGCCTCTGTTAGGAGAACGGCAGGTTCCCTTCCGAGTGCTGTGCTTGGGCCAAGAACTGCTCTGGCCCTCCCCACTCGGGCTCACATGTGGCCACTGCTTGCCCGCAGTTGGTCCTCCAAGTCGCTCGCCAGCTGGCAAGGAAGAAGGAACAGAGGGCCGTTCTTTGCCGCTGCGAGAGCATGCGGCTTCGCATGCTCGCTGCAGCCAGTGTCTGGATGGAGGAAAGTCCGAAAGCCTTTCCCTGTGTTTCCTGGAGGAAAGCGGGCAGATGGGCAGTCGGCATCCAAGCGCAGGCCTCATTCTGGTGTGTGTGTGCATTCGATGCGGGTGACTGTGACCCCCTTTCCCTTTGCTCCCCTGCAGTCCCACGAAAGAGTGAGCAAGAGGCTGCACCAGCGATTCCAGGCCTGGGTGGACAGGTGGACCAAGGAGCACGTGACCCGCGAGATGGCAGCTGAAACGAGCAAGTGGCTCATGGGGGAAGGCCTGGAGGGCCTGGTGCCTTGCACAACTACCTGTGATACGGAGGACCTGCACTTTGTGAGCATTAACAAGTACCGCGTCACGTATGGCACAATATTCAAGACACCCTAAACTCCCGTAGGGAGGTGGAAATGTCGGCGTGTGTGAGGGCGCCCGTCCGTCTGTGCGTGCCGTGTGCGCACGCACCGAGAAAAGCAAGGAAGATGCCTTCCTCCCCTCCCCCCTTGCCGTGTATCTCCGTAACGACAGCCACTTCTTGACTAATGCATAGCTGGAGCATCCTATCGCCCCAGTGGGGTCGCTTTGGGAACTGTAAATCCTGAGGACGGAAGCTGGAACTGTTGCCAAGGGGCTGAGATTGCTGTGCATGCACCGTGGCGCGAGGGGCGTGGGGATGTCCGAGTAGCTGTAGAGAAACCCACCTTGCCTGTACACACCAGCGTTCTCCAACAACGTGGGCATCAAGGACATTGGGGTGCTTTTCCAGATTTGGTGCATTTAACTCCCCCTCCTCTCCTAGGCCCACCTTCTCCCCCCCCCCCCAAAAAAAGAAAGAAAAAGTCTTACGGCCACAATATCCTAGGAATCCCAGAAATACCTGGTCACCTGAATCGACAGGACCAGCCAGCAGACTTTCTAGAATCTTCCATCCACTTGCTGGGCTCAACATCCAGATGTTGGGAACAGCAGCTCATGAATCCGACCCCTCAACTCTTCTTCCTGTTCTTCCTCACCAGTTTCCTTCCAGTGACCCGGACTTCTGACTTTCATAAACCAATTAAGATCAGTCTGTTGTTTTTAGTGCCAGTGGAACTATTGTTTTTATTTTGTTTCGTTTCGTTTTGATTTGTTTTATTTTTGGACCTGCTTGTTTACTAGTCTTTCTTAGTGCCATGCAGCAGCTTTTCACACAAACCCCTCTTTCCCCACACTCACACCATCACACAGACGTACAGTACTATACAGACACGCACTCTCACGATAGCACCAAGCAATTTTAAACTGTTTTCCCTTCTTTTTTGTAAATAAATGTACATATTTGTCAATTTTTTGTTTTTTATTAAAGAAAAAGTATGCTTGATGTGCTAGTATAACTGTACTAGCTTCTTGTGTACCTTAGTACCAGGGTGGCTTCAGGTTTTAGTACCTACAGACAAGAGCGGTGGATACATTTTATTACACTTTCTACCAAAGGGAGTTATCATTATAGTGCTTTGTGTGGAAACTTGTTTCACCGTTTTGTAAAAAAACAAAAACAAAAAACAATCAGAACCCTCAAAAAGTAACAATAACAGCAGCAACAATAATAGTGCATCTTGGTTCTTACGAGAGAAAGATGTGTGCTTGCCAGAACCCTCACCCTGTTCTGAGAGGTGCATTGCTACAGATTTGGGCAGGGGGACATCAGACCCACCGATAGGTCTCGGCTTCACAGTATAGGATGAAAAAGGGTGTGTGTGCTAGTGTGAGAGCGAGCGAGAGAGCAGTGAGTGTGTTGTGGTTTAACACGACTGTATTTTAAGCAGCCTGTTTGATATACGAATATACTATATATATATAAATATATATATAAATATATTTTCTTTTTCATTTCGTCTTTGGTGGCTAGCCTTTTCATCCACCTGGTCTTCCAGCTCGGGGAATCAGCACTTTCGGGAAGTGTTGCTGAGCTACCTATTTGGGGTTGATAGTGCTTTTATGTGTGCTTCTTCTCAGTATTGAAGAAAATATCCTAAATACCAAACCAGTATTTAACAGAGCTGCTTTACTGTCTGTGTGTGTGTGAGAGAGAAAGAGATCGAGAGACGTAACTGTAGAAGCAGGAGCATGAAAACTTAGAGGGTGGGTTTTTGCCATTTCTCTAGTGACATACAAGCAGGGATACCTTTCTTTTTTTTCTTTCCTTTTTTATGGAAAGCTCAGCGATGGCAGACATGTAAACAGACGATAAGGGAGTCATTTTGAAAGCAGATAATACAGATAAGCAGCACAAACCTGGCAGCGTGTGCGTCTGTCTTCAAGGAGGTGTGGTTCCCTTGTGCAAAGCGACAAAGCCACGAAGCCTTGACCAGCATGGCTTGCGGGCTTTTGTGGTTTCCCCAGGCCTGTGAATGTAACCCTGTGCAGGCAAGTAGCTCTCCCCTCCTCTCAGAACAGTGTTGTCGCGGTCCAAGGCAAAGAGGCGAAGAGGAGGAAACATGACCTTTCCTGCAGTTCAGGAGAGATGGAGCAGAAGGCAGGTGGAAGGATAGGCCCCTAGCAGAAAGTGGGTACCCGCAGGGGCGACAGGGCGGTGCCGATGGAAACAGTGAGCAGAAGCCCACCTGGGGGGTTTGTAACAGTATGCCAGCAATAAGCTAAGCTAACTCCACGTCTGCTTCCCTCGCTCTGTTGAAAGAGGGGTCATGGGGGCAGGAGGACAGCGCCGCGCCTCCTGTTCCGTTTTGCTTATATGCTTTCCCCACTCCCCACTCTCAGCATCCCTCCAGCTGTTTTCTCATTGGTGAGTCTTTAAAAATCGGTTTAGACTTCTTCTTTTTTACCAAGTTGCAAAGCAGCAGATCCTGCCGCTTTGCCAAGCATGTTTGCCCAGTTGTGATCTTCAGGATGGGAAGACCAGGGGGGATTTTTCACTGCCCGGTGTGTTTGGGGGAAAGAAAAGGCACACCCCACAGAGGAGATCACTTCCCTCCTGTAGCGGGGTTCATAGTGGAGCTTTTCTCTCTCTCTTCCCCCCAGTCCTGACATCCAGCGTCTGAGCTCTAAGCTCTGTTTCTGGCCTGTACAAATAGCAAAGGTTTTCCTTATTTTAAATTGCTTTTTGTATTCTGTAATGTGATCCTTTTTGCCACCTATTCATGTGATGATTTCTATACAGATGTTGTAAACTTGACTGTAGTGCAGTATTTCCATTAAAATACCAGGGCTACTTGTGTCGTCCTTCCTGATCGCACTCGGTCAGCCGAAAGGATGGGTGCCGTCTGAAAAGAGGGAGCTTGTTGAACATCCGGGGCGAGAATCTTGCAACTTGTGCATTGGTCTCCAGCGTGTGGAATTTCTACAAACAGCAGTTCTCAGCAATGCACCAGTGTAACAGGACAAAAGCATTGATTTCCCAGTTGTTGAGATGTTTAACTGCTACTGTCCTAAGTAATATAAATTTATTTGTATATTTGATTCTGACTGTACCATGTTCAGGGGGAGGTTCCGCTCCTTCACCGCTGGGCTGTTGCCTACTTGAAAGTCTTGCCCAGACCCCTTTCTGCTTTTGGGGTCTTTACCTGCTTGCTTTCTGTGTGTGCAGATTTCTAAGAACTAGAAAGCAGCATTCCTTTCTAAAGGTATAGCCAAAGGCCTATCCATGCAGATACCCCTTGTCCTGTCCCAGGAGACATAATCTGTAACCAGAGGTGTAAAAATGGCATGCAGTGGACCTTCTTTATAACCTTTGATACTTTAAAAAATCTTGATTCAATTCCACACCTTCCTGTCTACTTCCCAGTAATCTGGGGCTGTATTTTTGCACACAAGTGGAATGCATTAGCCTGCATGGTCAACAACTTTGCCCTTTGTGTGGGAGTTGCCCAGCCAGCCAGTGGAGGCAGAATGCAGGCATCAAGATTCCACTGGCAGTTCATTTGGCCCAATGACATTGATGACTTCTGGGGAAATGTACCACTCCATAAGCTTGTTGTTGGACTCGACTAGGCTAAAAGATTTCCTGATCCAACTTGGATCTGAGATGGGGCTGTACTGAGACCAGTCCTCCAAAGGTTACCCTGCAGCATCCTGCCTACAGATGCTCCATGGTGCCAGTAGAGGAAGTCGCTTCATTCCCTTTGTCCCAGTGAATGGCACGAAAGGCGGTGCCTTGCACAATTGGGCAGTTAAAGCCCAAGGGCCGTATAACACTGATCACTAAATCAAATACTGGCTGTTTTGCTCGCCAGACTGAACAAACGGCCCTCATCTGTTTCGTCTTTCACAGAGGCGCCTGCAGGAAGTTTCTTGATGGAGCATGATTGGAACCACTGTTGATGCTCCTGTTCGAGTAGCAGGTGTTTCTCTTCCCTGAAGTAGACATAGTTTCCTGGCTATCCCAAGTCTATTGCGATGACTCCGTTCTTGGCACCAATGTGGATGATTGCGTGCAAGCCGAAAGTTGGGAGATGCTCATTGTTGTAGATTCTCCGGTTGCCAGCAGAGGGCACCCAAAAGCTAGGGAAAAGGGAGCAAGGACAATGTTGTGCAGGTTTTCAGCAGCGCCCCCCCCTCCCCCAGCCACAGGATCTTAGCAAGATGGGCCTTCCTTTCCCAAAGTCCCTTTAGTGACTTTGTTTGAAATGCTGAGCATGTAAGTCGGCTCTTCCCTGTGCTTCTATTTGCTGCCATCTTCCTCGGAATATAATTTGGAGAACTGGACAACTTGAAAATTGCAACGATCTTGGTAGTCAGTATTTTGTCTTTTCTTGCTTCCTCTTCCAGCCTCACACGATGCTGTAATGATGCAGACCCTGAGCGTAATTGTGTACCGTGAGCACAGTGCTCCACAGTTGTGCTAGCAGAGAGGGCACCTTTCACAGCAGGGGCCCAGCCCTTCCCGGTACTTGTATGTGAAAGCAAGAAATACACAACGACGGAGCACTGAGATCCAGGCCAGCTGACTATGCCTTTAAGGCTCTCCACTGTCCATAAATGAGCGGAGCCCTGGAGGAGACGCCTTGCTTCCAGAGGAACAAAGGCCTCAACTGGATCTCTCAGCAGGGCTGCAGAACCTCTTCCAGGCCAAAGGCGGAATCTCTCGAGGGTGAACCCCCAGGGTGGGCGGGTTGGAGTACCAACACTGTACACCGTAGCTGAAAGCTGTTACTGCTAGGAACTGGATCTTAGAAGAGGTGGCTCACCCTTCTAGCATGAGGGGCGGGGGGGCGATGGCACAAACGCCGGGAGAGCAGCAAACTAATCGTGGTTGGGCGGATGGGAGCAGTAGAGAGAACCCTCCCAGGAGCAGAATTGGGACCCCAGGTGCAAGCTGTTGGCTGGTGGTAGCCTGTACCAAATGAAGCATGTACCTCTAGCTTGACCATACCTGACTACCTGTCTCGATGAAGCTACCTTCAGGTCTCCATACATCCTGCCCATGCTCAGAACAGCTCGACCTGCCTGATCGAGGGTGAATTACCAGCACTTACTCTGCACAAATACCCAAGACCTCAAACTCCCAAGAGTTCTTATGTGGTGTGCTACCGTGAGAACTGAATGCTGTCTATTATTAATTGGCTACACAACATCGTCGCATGTGAACTTTCATAATCGCCAACTGAAAGATCAGTTCCTTAAGCTGTTCCTGGAATTCCTGAAGATCAGCCCTTCCTCTAGCCGTATTGTTCCTTCTCCCCATTTCTGCAAACAATGGCACAATATCCGGTCAGTTCAGAAATATGCTCTGGACATTATGCTAATGAAGTGTGCATAAAACATGCAAATGAACTGTAGACTTCTCATCCATGGTACGCTTCCAAGTTCTTTCCCCTGTGCATCCACCAGCTTGGATCATCCATGTGTCTGGAGTCTGTTCAACAGGCACCAAATCAAAGGACTAAGACTGCGAGTTCCTGCACTTCTCTTTAGGTGTAAAGCTGAGCTCATCAGTTGATAAAGAGGGTGCAGCGCCTTTACCAGAGACAGAGCGGGCTGCCAAGGAAGGATTGTAATGAACGCTTCATGGCTTCATTCCATGTGAATGCATCGGCTCCTCTGCACTGCAGTTTGTCAACCCGTGTGTGTTGCGTACAACAGGTGCCCAAGACGCTTGCTGTCTTTGCTTACCCCTGCTGCTTTTTAATCAGAGGAGACCCTCCCTATCTATTCACAGCTTGCCCTTTTGGACGCATTTCCAAATCCATCGTTGGCCCCTGTTCTCCTTTTGCACCATTTTCTATCTCTTCTGCAAATCTCTCTGTTGGTTTTTTGGGGACATTTTCGTGCTTGAGATAATATAAAATCTGGCTAAATAGCCCCCTAATTAGGTCAACATCCTAATGGCAACACCCCCTCTCCAAAAAAAAAAAAAATGCTCAGTATAAAGTATTCATAAAATTAACATACTCTAAATGAATTCAAGCTTAATTTAACAGGCCACTGCATCTGTTGTTAGTGTTTCACATAAAACATTGTTTGAAATTAATAGAGAAGAACTTCCCCTTTCATAAAGGATGGTGGAGCAGTCAAAAGGAGATGAAGCAGCCGTTTGCCCTAACAAGAGAAAATGTCAAACAACTTACAGTACTGTCCAAAAAAACTTCCATGCAGATAATGAACTTCAAACATGATACGAGAAAACAATTCCCATGCTTTAATGTTGAGGTACAAATTTCGGGAGGCATTTAAATCTTTTTTCTGTCTGTAGAGCTAAGTTAGGGTGCTAGGATCTTCCTGCTGTGATTTTTAGATACTGAAATAAGTTCCCATCTCCATAGAAACTTTAGTAGTGCTGGCATCCAATTAAATCTTTGATTAATGAAATGTTCTGCCATACCCGTGCCCCAGCGCTGAGAAAGCTGCGCATGTAAGAAAAGCTGTGGCAAAGCAGCTTGATTTACTGGTTTTCTCAGTGGGGGAAAGGGGTGATTTTTCTGTACAGAGAAGCATTCCATCACTGGAGCCCCCGCATGTTTCCAGAAGATGGGTCTAGCTCATTCGCCTCCGGAAGACCCAGCCTGTGGCGCTTCTTCAACAGCTATGCGCTCTGCAGTCCATGAACAGAGTGAGTGGCTCTTCCCACTTCCCCTGGAAATGGTGAAGCAGAAAGCTCGCCTCCTGCAGCTGTGCAGAGAGCTGCATGCGATTGGACGAGCCATGCGCTTTAACCTCAGATGCTCCAAAGGCCTAAATGCTGGGATCTAATCTGCTAGGGAACAGGGGTGAACAAAGCTTGTCTGTGGGGACCGTAGGATTTCAGCGAGGCTCTTCGACCTGATTATGGCTTGGGTGACGAACTTGCCACTGGATGGAAAGCATTCTGATCGTGGAATTTTCCGCCACAGGATTTGGGGTGGAGCTGCCTTTTATGTCTTGAAAGTAGGTGGGAAAGGGAGTGAGATCAGGTGTACAGGTCTGCCAGGACCAGCCCCGTCCCTGTGTGTGTGGGGCGGGAAGGGCTTTCCGTGCGTCATTGTCAGGCCTCCTCATGTGTGAGCTGCGCATGAACTTTGAGAAAGACCCTCTTCAAATGCTGCAAGGGCAACATTGGGCTTGTAGAATGTGGCCGCCCCCAGGAGGGGGAACAGCCTCGGGGCATTTCTCGTGTTCATTCATGATGAGACAGGTAAGGAGGCTGACTGGTGATTAGTCTGTCAGCTAGACTGTTTGTTTTTCATGGGCCGGCAAGCCCCTTTCCTGAAAAGGGTGCCAGGCCGGTTTGCAGAACTGGACCACTAAAAGGTTGCAAGGAATCGAAGAGGGTACTCTCGACTGACGGCATCTGTTCTCCCTGGCCTGTATTTCTCCTGTTGCATCTTCCCTTGGGAAGCCCCATAGAAAGTTGGGCTGGGGACGGCATCTTCCCTTGGGAAGCCCCATAGAAAGTTGGGCTGGGGACGGCCTGCCTACCTTCTCTGGCCTTGTCTCACCAGATGTTTAAGGATGATGGAGGATCTTGCCCAACTCTTTAGGACAACAGGTTTGGGCCAAGAGCTGTTTCGAGCTACTCGGTGGTTCAGAAAAGGTGTACTCCTTCTGTTGGAGCAGCTACTGAATAGGGAAAGGCTGTTCTTAAAGTCTTTGACTGTTGCTTTTGGGTCTCCTGGAAGTCTCTGGTTGATTATAGCATGCTGAATTAGGCCGACCGTTAATATGATGCCAAAGATCTGTTCTTAGACCAACCCTTCCCCACACAGATGTTCTCGGCTGCCATCATCTCTGGAGAGCTGGCCACCGTGGGTGGGAGTTTTAGTCTGATAAATCCAGATGGTGCAAGATTAGAGAAGTTTGGTCAGGGACGAACAGTTTTAATACCTTCTAGAAAGACTCTAGGAACAGTGGGAGGGTTGGGTTTTTTCCCAGAGAGCTGGAAAATCTCTCACCAGCTTTTGGAATGTGACATCCACCAGAGGAATGGTGAGCAGTGTCTAAATCTCTCATAATAGCAACCTGGTTCATAATTCCTGCTTCGTAGCTGTAGTTTCCCAGACCTTGCTGAACCAAAACATTTTTCTCCCTCCCTCCCTCCCTCCTAAGAGTACAACCCAGTGGTCTCATTCCATGAAGCTGATCACTGGGAAATGCAAAGCACATCAAAGGAAGCTCTTTGCCTGCTGCAGAGAGAGAAACTGTGGAACTCACTTCCACAAGCATTGCGAGGGCCACCCATTAAAGGGAGCTTCCTATGGTGCTTGGGGAGGTGGCCATGTGTTTTTCTCAGCTAGCAGGTGAGGGAAGACAATATTCTGGAGCCAGTGTTTGGATACAAGGAGGAGGAGGAGCAAAGATAGCAGATCAAGAGGTATGAGCTGACAGAAGGTAAAGAATGTTCTGATCCAAGCGCATTTTCTGGGGGCTTGGATGGGCAATCCATTCTCCACACTACGAGGTACCTAAGGCTCCACTGGTTACACTAGTAAATGAAGCAAATTCTGTAAATTTGCCCCAACTCTCCAGTGTTCTATGATCCACAAGAAATTAATTCATGTAGTTTTTGCCTCCAGAATGCTTCAGCACTCGAAGTGGAACGGGGAAATCTGGGGCTGCTCAGGGAGATCCGCACAGCAGCTCTTGATGCCGCTTGGGCCGAATGTCTGGGATTGGCCCAAAGGCACCCGGTGAACTTAATGGCCGCACGGGGACTAGAACTGGATCTCCCAAGTCTTTTGCCACACCGGCCTAGATAGCCCCATCCCCTCGCTCAAGGCCGCACCATCAGGTGTGTTGGACGGCCCAAGCCTCTCACAACCCCTGTGCTGCACCGGCTACCGGAGCTGCTCGCCCCACACTCTTCTGCGTGTAAAAAAAGAGAAAAAAAATCCGATCGAGAACCCATGGGAATCGTAGCTAATAAATTTAATTACTGCTCAAATCATACACATTTGAAACTACAAAATACAAAGTAAACAAGGGGAGGGAAAGGGCGAGAGGAGAGGAAGCTGCACACACAATTCTAATGGGACCAGGGTTTGTCATCAAAGCAAACACCCCACGGAGCGGGCCGGCCAGCAGGGAGTAGCGGTGGCGTGTGCAGTCACGTACCAGGCTGCCCTAAAGGCAACCCACATGGATGTTTACTATGCAGGGGGGGTTGTTTTTCCTTTTTCACAACATCTGCTTGTTAATCCACCCCTTCATCCCCCACCCGTGCAGTGCTGGCTGGTATTTCTCATTCTCTTATGTAAATTCTTGTGCATACAACGTCGTCGGCACCAAAGGTCTGGAAGGAAAAAGAGGGGGAGACAAACCGGACAAAATCAGGCACCAGACGCAATGCAAGGTTCTCCTCATGTCACAGGGGATGAAGTTTGTGCTCAGATGGCTGCATTCTGTCTGCTGTAATTGCCTTTTTGCCGACATGGTTGCCACTTCCCCCCCCACCCCTTTTCTCCTCTCTCTTTGCATTGGAAGAAGGCGACCTCGCTTTTCATACCTCCTTTCAGCTTTCTCATTAACCAAGCTGATAGCCTCTTCCGTTGGTTTTGCTTTTGCTCCTGAGTCCTCTTAATGCTTAACTCAGGCATTGAGGGCCAAAAGCTGGGTAGCTAAAATGCAGAAAAGCTGCAGAACAAGCGGGAGAAATTGGCCCCTGACAATTTACAGAAGGATAAAAGGAAGACAGAACTGCTTTGAGTCTGTGCACACTTAATAGCCAGATGGAGCTGGAGTTGGAGGAGAACATTGAAAATCTGGTATTTGTGGAATGGAATCCATTGGTAAAGGGCATGGCTGGCAGAGACCCTGAAAAAGATGCTTGTTGGAAAATGCTGCTAAACTGCATAGAATTTTAACTCCTGCTTATTCCATCTTGTTTTTATCATGGAAAGTTCACTTGAAGTGGTTTTAAGCAATGTTCAGGCAACCTGGAGAGATTCCATTTTCCTGATTTACCCTGTCAATGTCATTTACATTACATTCTTGATGTGATGTAAATGAATCTAAACTGGGCTTGCGAGACAACTTTCCATGCATATATAGATATATTTACACTGAAAAATAACCAGGAAATTTACATCAGGACTATATTATTTTCCAGTCTGGCTTAGGGAAAGAAATATATGCCACAGTCTAAAGTTCATGCAAAATGTCTTACAAGACGCAGCTGCGTGAGATCAAAGCCACGTGGAAACTTCTGGACTGTATCTCTGCATTCTCTGGCCTGCCTTGTTCAGTCTTACCATCCAACGGTGCCATTTATACAAATGTTCTCTCCTTCATCCCCACCCTGCAGCTCACCAGCTTTAATCAGGTGTGGTGCGATTATTATTATTTTTTTTTTCTTTTCCTTCTGGGGAGACGAAAGAACTCGTGAGTTTTCCGGAACTTCCTTGACTGAGCGATAACGGAATTGGGTCCTCACCCTGTCCCTCAGCCCCAGCGTGATCTGTGATTCGGTTTGAGGCCGTCTTTTAAGAACAATAGCTCTGCTTTCATCAGGGTGTGTGTGGAAACTCCTCCTGCACATCTGAGCTCCTCAATAGCAGAGGAAGGCTAAGGAACTGTCCCAGTGGCTTGTAGCTTTAGAGTGGAAATGTTTGCATGTTATAATGGAAGACAGGGGGAGTCCCTGTCGAAGGGCAAAGGACCCGGTCATTACAATTCAAATGACGGAAAAATTAAACATGCTCACCAAAATCAGCTCGTCTCCAGCCAGTTCTCTTGTCCAGTATGTTTTGGGTCCCTCACCTTCCAGAAGAGTTTGCTTGCAGTGGATCTTGTTTTCATTCTCCCAAGTGGCTAAACTCTGCAAGCAAAGAGCAGTCCCCCAGCCCAAACCTTACTTCTAGCTTTTTTGCTTAAAAGCATTTTTTAAACTCAGTGTTATTCTGGCTAGATTGGGTTTGTTTAGGGTATTACTTTAATGATGATGTTTAATTTGGGATTCTATGAGAGAGAAAAAAACAAAGGTATTTAAAGTACAACATGCTGCCAAATGATACTTTCATGCCCTCGAGTGTTTTAGGAAAGGCGTACGTCTCCGAATCAAAGTATGGGAAGGCTCAATGCATGAAATAACCAAACTGAATTTCTCCCTGTCGTTTCTGATGAAAAACTTCCATTTCCCTCAGTGGAATAATCTCCAAGGGAGAGGTCTGGGCTCTGTGCCATGCAGGTCACCTGCTCTGCCCCGAGGTGAAAAGCTCTAGTCCCAGACCCCAGGGAGCTGCTGCGAATCGTGCAGACGGCCTTCTCACATTCCTGGGAAATGTTTCCGATTTCTCTGAGTGCACCGTCTCCCTTGAGATCCCGCCACGGCATCTTGTACTTTCAATGTGCTTAATGCCAATTTGTATGCAGGCAGGTTTGGTAAACAGGCCCTGAAGAGAGAACATTTCTGCCGTACTGGAGGCCTTCAGACAAGGCTGGGTGGGTGTCTGCCAGCTTTTGCAATGCTTTCGAGAAACACCGGAAGACATTCGCTCCTACTTTTAATTGCAAACCTGCCATCAAAACAAATGAAGCACAGTCAATGCTGCATGGCAGGAAGGAGGTCTCCAGGAGGTTTGCAGTTCAGCTCTTGCCATTCCGGACCATTGGCCACGTTGGGAGAAGCTCCCGGGAGCTGATGTCCCAAACATCTGGAGATGTTCGCCTTCTGCCCACGCCAGCGTAGTTGCGCTTAAGGGAAGATCGTCTCCCCAGACACCACTGCTTCTTGCCCCTAGGTCCGTTTCGCACCACATCCTTTCTTCAGTTCTGCAATTCTCGCGGCCTCCCCCTGCGCAACCCTCCGATTCCCCCATCAGCCTGCAATCCACCACTCTTCCTGACAACCCAGCAACCTGTTTTTGGTGTGCTTTCTAGCTATCTTGATGGTCTTCTCTTCCACCTTCCCAGGCGTCGACTGGTTTTGCGCTGGCTCCTGGTCACAATGCTTGCTATGGCTTCTTTTCCCCACCTTGTGCTTTCTGGTCACACCCCTCACAGCCATCCAAACCTGGCAAACTGTGGGCAGCGGGATCTCTCATAGCATCTCAGAACCTGCGGGTTGTCGTATTTTCTGGAGAGGTGTGGATGCTGCCCCCTGCTGTTGGGGCAGGAGGAGCCCACCTTTCAGGAGGGTAATCGAGCAAATCCACAGCATACAACCAGCATGTGAGAGATGGGAAGAGCGGCTGCTGCAGTTTCCCTTCTCCAGCGATTGTGCAAGCCCATCATTTCCCCTGTAGCTTGGGTGACATTCATCCCTGCCAGGTGAACGGGATTCCGCCCCCTTCACAACAGCCCCTCTGCTGCTCTTTGCTCTCCACAACAGTCCTGATGCCTCCGAATCTTCACCAGCATCCCTTTTATTCGGCCACTCTGTGCCAGAAGCTTCTTCGCCTACAAGCTCCATGCAGTGAGGGGCAGAGGGTTATACTCCAGATCTGTCAGTGGTTGGCCTAATGGGTGGGGCATTCTGGGAGCTGTATTCCAACACCTCTGGAGGGAGCCAGGGAAGGGAAGGCAGGGACGGTGCTTCAGAAACCACACCCCCCCATCAGCGAGCGATGGGCTGCATGTGCCCTCCATTCGCCTGTTTATAAGAATCTCCTGCTGCGTTTGACAAGATTTATTCCTTAATTCAGGGCTGGGGAAGCTGTAACAGCTGTGGCCTTCTGAATGATGCTGAACTACAGTCCCCATCACCCAGACCACTGGCCAGGCTTGATGGGAGCTGGAATCCAGTAGTATTTGGAGTATGATGCATTCCCAGTCCTAAATTGAGGGACTTGAAAGTGATGATGTGATCGGAGCAACACCGACACTGTCTTCGGCTGCCGAGCGGAAGGCTAAATATTTTCTGTTTGCAGAGAAAATAGGTGGCAAGCAATGGAAGCGACAGTCCTTTCCAAAGCTCTGAACACGAATGCAAGGTGCCAAAGCCTCTGAACCGCTTCCTTCAAGGATCTCTTGCAAGCAAAATGCAACGCAGAATGAAATGCTTTGCAAAGCCAACGGGAAAATTCCTAACGTGTTTGCTTCATAAACATGGGGGATTTCGTAGGTGTCAGGAGCTGGAGGAAGGGATAAACCCCCCCCCCCTCTGCACAGTGCCTTCCTGCAGTGGGTGTCCCTTTGCCATCTCCTTCACGGTGCATTAACAACGCACATTTGTCACGGTAACTCTTCTCTCCACTGTTCTCTCCACCTGAGATCCAACGATACATCTTTCTTCCAGGCACACTCCGATGAGCTTTTGTAGGATTTGAAGCCAGACTAGAGTAAAATAACTTTTTGGTAACTAAACCTGATGCTATTTTCAGCTGGATTCCTCAGTCATTTGCTTTCAGTTTCATTCAAATTGAGATAAATCCCTAATCTGGTTTCTGTCAAAACCAAGAATGTGGTTTATTGCGCAGATGTAAGTAGAAAGCTGAGTGAGCATATGAGGAAATACGTCCCATTGAATCTGGTGGTACTTAATTTTTGAATAAACATGCTTGGGACCCATCTGTTAATAATCGCAGAACATGAAAAGAACTCTTGGTGAAGTCAGAGGAGACTCATTCCTGTGCAATGGTCACGATCCAACAGTTTTCGTTCATGAACGAAAATAAGGGTTTCCCTATTGTTAGCTTCAAAAAAGGAAACTTTGTTTGCTGTAAGCAATTATACTAACTCTCGCTTGCATGGAGCTTGGTTGGAGGGGGTGCTTATCAGGGTACTAGATCATTTCAATTTGCTTTCTGGCTAAAGAAGAGGGATAGAAATCTAATAAATAAATCCGGGGATTTGGGTTTTGTTCCTTTCTTGGAAGGGGCCAGCCACACTGCAACAAAGCTGCTTTCATGAGGGGTACAACTACAATACCCATTTGCCTGCAAATATGGCCCTGTAAACTCACTGAGGCTAACGTCTGAGCGCACACACAGCCTTGTGCGACAATTCCCGTGCCGCACACACACCAATGCCCAAATGAGGTTGCCATAGAACACACAATGTTTGTGGCACCCCTGTCAAGTAGCTAAACACAAAACTGGTGGGGGGGGGTGAATGAGGCCCCCACAGGGTAAGTGAAATGTCTTTGCACAAATCCAGAAGAAAGAAAACGGTAGCCAACGGCGGCCCGGTGGGCATGGCGACATTCTTCCTCGGGTTTTCTCTCTTAATTTCCTATCTTGACTTGACAGAAAGCAAACTGCCAGATGGGAGGGGATTTTGGGCGCGTGAGCGAGGGAGGCTGGCGACATGATGGATGAAGCGGAGACGGTCAGGTCCACGGATGGGGTGGGGAGATGGCATCGTCCTGATTCACTCGGACACGTCGCCATCGGGTGGGGCGCCCTGGGGGAAGCTAGCCCAGAAACGGATGTGATGAAGTCCGGGACTTGCTAATTCCGGGTTGCAAACCCTGACTCTGGCAACCAGGACTCAGCCCTCCCCGCAGAGAAACGGCAGGTGAAAACATCAGACGCTGGCAGGAGGAGGAGATCTTGCACGGAGGACCCAGATTAGAAAGGCCCAGGCCAGTAAGAGCTTTGCAGCCCTTTATCTGCTCCAGAATCAAAACGAAGAAGAGGGGAATCAAATCCTTCCCAAGCCAGGAAGACAAAGAAACATCTGGACCGTATTTCTGGTCCCCTGGCAAGAGCAAGCTTCAGAATATGCATGGCATGTGGTACACAGCCACAAGAGATTAATTTGCCCTGCTAGCCTGCTGGAACTCGTTCTTTGCCCTCTGTGGAAGCCGTGCCTGGACTTTAGGCCAGGTGCCACAGCAAAGCAATGGCCGGCACTATCTGTTAAGGGTGCAAACAATTCCCCCAGCACAGTTCGCAACGCTGCCTTCAAGGTGCTTGCAATGTGTTTTCTGACTTTCAGAGACAAGCCGTGGGACAGGCCGAACCCGGAGGCCCTCCGCGTACAATTCACATCTTTCCCAGCCAGCACGGTCCTCGGAGGGCAACGCATTCACTCAATTTGCAAGAGGAGTTTTTCTCAGCAGAGCGATTTCATTTATTGGCTATGCTTCTGTTCCACCTCCTCCTTCCAGTGTGGCTCACACAATCCTCTTGCCCTCTTACCCTTACGGCAGCTCAGTGGGGTAGGTCAGGCTGCGAGCCAAGGTCTGGTTGAAAGCCAGCCCAGGTGGGGACTAGAACTCCGGTCTCCCCTTTCCAAATTGGAGACTTGAGCTTCCGTGCCACACTGGCTCTCACTTCTAGGGAACTCGGAGGATCTGCTAAATGGGAACTCCGCTGCGTTCGAGAAAACTCTCTTGTTCCACAGGAAAGGATCTCCGTGTGAACAAGAGGCACTTGGGAACCCAATGAACCATTTTGCTACCAAGCTTTGCACGGGCAGCTTCTGTGCCAGAACAATCTTGCTTTGCCTGCCAGATGTTCCCCCGAAAAAGCCACTGTTTCTTACCCGGCATTTCCGGCCATCCACGGTTTCCTCCTCAAAGCTCTCCCCAACTTTGAAGTTGATCTCAGTGGTGCGCACCGTGGTGGAGGTCTTAATGTAGAACTGGTCTCCGTCTTGGCGGATCTCCACGTGCGGCTTCGAGGCGGCCGCCACGGCCACCTTCCGGAGCATGGCGTTGACCCCTGCAGGCGAGAGGAGTGGGGCCCCGTGACGCCGGCCTGCGATGCGATGCGAGCCGGCAGGCCCGGACCCGCTCGGGCTGCACGGAGCGGCCGGGCACGGGCGCGCCCGCCTCGGGGACCCCGCCGGCGGGCGGCCCCCTCCGCCTTTGCGCCAGGCCCCGTCCGGGCCGCCAGCGTATCTGCACTGCAGCGGCCAGAGGGGCTGGGCGGGCTTCCGCGCCTGGGGCTGCCAGGTAGAGCTGCAGGTGCCCAGGGGCAGCCCCCCGCGCGCGCCAAAGCCCCCGGCCGGCCCCCCGCCTCCCCGTCGCGCGGGTCCCAGTCCACGCGCGGCGTCCCGCCGTCCTGGGCAGGAGACGGGGCTCGCCCGTGTCGCGCCGGGCGCGGGGCAGCTCGTGCTTCAGCGCTCCGCAGCGCCTGCCCGCGACGAAGCGCGCCTCGCCCCCGTTTCCCCGGAGGAGGCGCCGCCGGACGCGGCCGAGCCCGCTCCGGAGCAGCCCGCGCGCCGCACCGGGGCGCGCCCCGCGCGGGCAGCCGAGACTAGGCTGTCCCGGGACGCGCCGGGCACGGACGCGCCCGGAGCCGGGCGAGCAGCGTCCGCGGAAGAGCGCGCCCCGAGGCGCTCCCGGGCGGACGTGCCTCGGGCCAAGGCGCCGCCGGCGCGCCCGGGAGGGTCGGCAGGGGCTCCGCGCGCCGATCGCCCCGCGGCGGGCTGCCTCACGCCGCCCAGCGCCTTGCGCCGCCCGCCAACCCCAGCCGCCCGCCCGCCGGCGCGCCTCACCCAGCACTTTGAGCAGCTCGTCGAAATTCTCGCTGCTCTTCATCTTCCAGGTCCCGGCGAAGTTGGGCATGGCGGCGGCCTGGGCGGCGGGGCGAGGCTGGCGAGGCAGGCGAGGCGACCGGCAGCCCGACCGGAGAGCTGGCAGGCGGCCGAGGCACGAGCGCGCGGACGGAGCGGCCACGCGGGAGCGTCTCTCCGCCTTCTGCCGCGCACCTTGCCAGCTGCCCGAGCAGGAACGCGCGCCCCCTCCCCTCGCCGCCGCCTCCTCCCCCTCCCCTCCCCCCCCCCGGGCCTCCGCGGGCTCCCCCCAGCCACCCGGCCATCCATCCACCCATCCGTCCATCTGCCTCCCCGTCCCAGGCGCGCCCCCCCGCCACGACCCTCGCATCCATCACCGGCCGCGCACGTCCCTCGCCCTTCAGTCCAGAGCCAGCCCCCCCTCCATCTCCGCCTGCAGCTGCCGTCCATCCACGGGTCCCCCCCCCCCAGGCCCCCGGGGGGAGCCGCCCTCCCCCCCCCCCCCCCGCCCCGGCGCGATGCTAGCTCGCCTTGCAGCTGGGAGGCCGTTCGGGGCAGGTTCGTGGGCGCCGGCGTGGGGGGAGCTCGCGCCCCCTTTCTCCTGCCCTCCTGGGCTGCGGGGACGGCAACCCCGCTGGACGGCTTCAACAGGGTAGCGGGGGGGGGGGGGATTTACGCGATCATGCAGTCACCCTTCCCCAGTAGCCTTCCAGTGGTGTCGGAGTACAGCTCCTACCCATCTCAGTCCCAGACTCTAAGGGCCATCATGCCCAGTCAGACTGCATTCCCCAGCAACCTCCGTGGTGGCCACACTGGGGGTGGGGGGGTGGGAGGTGATGGTTGCCTCCCCCCAGACTGAGCTGCCTTGCAGGACAAAGTTATCCATGGTTACCACCAGTTCTGATGGTAATAGGCTGTCCCCCAGGATCAGAGACAAAAAACAGGGGAGAAGCAACAGCGGGAGAAGGCGGGTGCCCCCTTGTGCCCTGCAGGTGGGCAAGTGCAGGGTAAGAGCGGCCCTCAAGGAGCAATCCTTTGGTCCCTAGATATCGGGATCCCCCCATCCAAGCTCGGAGACAGCACTCCAACCTTGCAAGGGGGAGTCGGAGACCCCCTCACTGCTGGCTCGGAAAAAGACCACGCTGGCCGGCCTTCGGGTTTGGAAAACACATCCCTGGAGCGCGGGAAAAGGTACTGGAGAGGTGAGGATAGGATCTTTAGTGCATTGACACATATATTTCACACACACACATTGAGGCTGAAAATGAAGCAGAAGCAAGAGCACACAAACAAAACCCAGTATAAACCAAATTAATCAGGAGCGAAGCAACCTGAGAACAGCTCATCTTTAAGACCTCAAATGCTTCCTGGGCAAGGATGTTTTCCCCAAGCTTTTAAGCAGACAGCCAGCCATCATGGAGAAGAAAAAGCAGGGAAATGAATTGCTCAGAAGAGGGGTGTGCTGCACTCAATATCGCTCAAGCATCCCACCTCCAGCAGCTGATCATGGGATCATGATTCCAGAACGAGCAGAGGTTCCTGTTGGCCGCAATTAAAGAGATTTTTGTTGGGCCCGCTAACTCTTGTCCCTGCTCATGCAGAACGTCAAAAGCCCCTGTGACGGCAGGCCCGCCATTAATTAAGGAGGACAGCTCCTGCAAGCCAGAAGATGAGCTGAAATGATGGAGATGATGGCTGGGAAGGACAGGGCAATTAACAGGAACGGGCACTAATGAAGTCGGCAGCGGGGAACGTGGACATGTGTCATTCGGGCTGTGCGCTCGTCGGCCCCAGCCGAATCTCATGCACCGAGATTGTCATGCCCCAGCCGAATTGTCATGCCCCAGCCGATTGGCATGCCCCAGCCGAATCTCATCCACCGTGTTACGTCCCTTTCTCCAGACCAGTGCAGTGACACCTGTCTGAGATGATTTGATCTCCCAGCAAGGCTCTGCTAGAACTTACTGATCAGCAGAGATGCTGGCGTTGTCTGCCATCGCCTTCTGGGGATTCCCTCTTCCCTCTGAGCTGAGTGGAGGTTGGAAGTGCAGCAGGGGGAAAGGAATCCTCCCAGAATCAAAAGCTTCCAGAATATTTGGGGGTGGCCTGGTCCTCAGCGGGCAGCGAAGAGGTGTTAGCATGCCAAAAGACCTGCTAGGAGGAATTCCTTGGTGTGGGTCAAAAAAGCTGCAGGACATGGGAAGAACTGTTCTCATGCACACCTGCACTCTAATACCCCCGGTGGCAGAAATTTTAAAGGAAATTACTTCTTAAAAAATAAGGAGGGAGCTGCCAGTAAACGGCTTTGAGGATAGACCCTCCATTCAAAGGGACAGGGCCAGCTTTGCCCACTCCACAACCCCCGCCCCTGGTGCCCCTGGGATGGCCACATGCCGGGCCTGCAGGGAGGGACCCTTTCCCACCTTTGTAACCCCTCCACCGGTATTCAAGATAGACTGTCTTTGACCATGGATGCCCCATTTAGCCAGCATGACTATTACCCAGAGATAGCTCCATCTGAAGCGGACTCTTCCACAAGAACACGAGGACGGTAGCTGGATCGGGACCCCAGCTTCATCCTGTCCCACCACCAGCTTGCCATCACAGCAGACCAGATGCCTCCAGGCATCTTACACGCAAAGCAGGAACTCCACACGTTGCTGCTCCCAGCAACTCCTGTGGTTCCCAACGGTACACTTCTACTGGCTTCAGGTCTGTGCTCCGAGTCCCCCGCTAGACTATCAGTTCTGTGGGGCAGGAGTGTCCACCGTCTTCCAACACAACCGCTGAGCTCCACACTGGAGGGACCACATTCGGGCAGGCAATGAACAGGCCCACGGCAGCAGCGGGCTTCCGCTCTGTGGCTGCCCCAGCAAAGCCTTGAAGAGGCATTTGGACTCTTTCGGAGTGGAGAAAAATGGAGCAGAAACTGGGACACCACCAGCATTGGGTGCTCCGGAGGAAGGGGCTGGGCTTAGAAACTAGGAGGCCCGGATTTGCCTCTCTGGCCCAAATGTCGAAGCCCTCGCTTTAGCCTTGGCCCAGAGACACCTTCTTCAAGACTGCTGTTTAATTTGGGGGAAGCGAGAGAGGCCAACCTTTCCCTTCCAGATATCTGCTGCTAGGATCAATCCGCTCACGTTAGAAGCAAGCGCTTGGTCTCACTGCAGCGGATGGGTTAGGTCCAGGGCTTCCTTTCACTTTCCCTACAGATGCTCAGCTTTCCAGAAACATTCCCCCTAGCACAGTTCCATCTTTGATTTACCTGAATCCCCCACGGCTGGGCCGTCCTTTCTCTCTGCAAATGGATCCCATCCATCTTTTCAAAAGTGTCTCGAAGACAAAGGAAAGGAATACGTGTGCAGATGGGGCCCGGGCTGCTATTCATCCATCCAAATCAGCGAACCCATAATGGGACCCAAAGTATCCCCCTCTGCGTGTTTATTGACTGACTGTTTGTTGAGGGTGCAGAGATGAGATGCAAACAATGCCTGTGAGTTTCGGAGGTGCTGGCGAAAGGGGGGGGGTGCGGGGAGACGCAGACAAAGATCGCTCTGGAGGAGAGTTTAATAAATGGCCTGTGACACAAATAAATTATAGATCTGGAAGGCAAATGGCTGCCGTAAATTTCGCTGCCAAATTAAATTGACAGCGGGTCTCCCAATGTGGCGGTGGGTGAAATGTAACCCGACGGGTGCGGAAGCAGGACGTTTCCACGCCCTCGCCTTGCATTGTCTATTAGACACTCATTAAAATGTCGCTGCATCATTAGGTTTTGCATTTGGGAGACCAGCCAGTTCAGGCCCCTTGCGCTAAAAGATAGGAGAGACCCCTCTCGCCCCCCCCACCGCCGCTGTCTACGAAGATGCTCATGAGGCTTCCTTAACGAGCGGCAACACAACCGCTTTGTGAGTGTGTGCATTTTTACGCATCAGGAGCCACCCGCTGCTAGCAGGAGGGCAAAGAGCGCCTCTGCCGAATGCGGGGAAGCTCGAGGGACACGCCAGCCTCCTCTGGGCTCCGATAATCCCAAATATGATCAGTGCAGCCTTCCCATTTCCTCTCTCAGCACGGAAGGAAGGGACCCCTGGTACTCCCAGAGCAAAACCCTGATGAAAAGGGGCCACCTGCTCCGTTCACCTGCCCCCTTCTCCGGTGGGGACCTCTGTAATTCTGTCTACATTTAAACACAATTTACAACCCATAATGCTGTGCCTTGAGACTTGCCAAAATTGACTGCAGGGTTGCGTGCAGGGAGGGAGTGGAGGGGGGCTGTTCTTATCCCCCTCCCCCCCCGCTTTCCTAGCATCCTCTGGTCCATGGGTCATGAAGCAGAGCCAGGATCAGATGCGACCCAAATGCTCCTTTCCCCGCTTTTGTGATATTCTCGCTTTTGTCGTTTCAGCTCTCGCTGCTGCCGCTGGCCTTCCCGTTTCGTATCGTGAATTGCTCTCCTGCGAACATTCTGAAGCAGTTCAGTCCCTCATCTGGTGACTTCATAGGATGGGCTGTTGTTTTAAACTGATGATTTCGCTAAAAAGGCATGGGGGTCACGCCCACCGAAAGCAAGCAAGAGGAGAAATCCCAAGGTATCCAGACCAACAAAATATTCTCCCGTTTGCATGCAGACTCGGCGGGAAAAATGGTGGCCATTTGTGAGCTCTGGCCAAGTCTTTGGCCCAAATGTTCGGTGGCTCTAAAGATGCCAGGCCAACCTGGGAGGAGTTTGCTCCGTGCTGGAGAGACAGAGGTATCAGCGTCTTTCCGAAAGGCATTTGTGGCTTTCTGTATCTGGTTCTGTAGGACCGATGCTTTTTTTGCCAGTGTGTGCAATAGGACCAAATGCTTGAGAGATGCAAGACACAAGCCACCCGGAACCTCTTCTCCTGTGATTTGTTTTCTGGCTCTCTTACTGATAGGAATGGATGAAATCCTCTCTCAGGCCTGACTGGAGCTGACTCAGAGGCAGCTGATATTAATGGCTTGTCGGCAAGAGGCTCAGAATATACACATTTGTATCTGGGTTGGGGGGGAACAAAGCCAAACAGTAAG